ATAATTTATGAATTAGAGATTCTCAGTTTTTTAATTAATTTATAAGTTATGATTCCTGAGTCATAGAATTTCTAATACAATATTATATTATTTTAATAATATTATATTAAAATCTATATATTTAAAATAATTTATTACAGCCATAGGCACGGTTTCTAACTTAACTATTAATATAAAAGTTTCCAGGTTCTCTCTATTTAGTCCTGTAATTGGTTCTGGTTTTTTTTTCTATTTTTTAAATATTTCCAGTTGCTGCATGAATTATAGATTTATAAAGTTTCTAGTTATACCAGAATCTATTAATACTTAAGCTGGTTATTTTAGTATAACTACCTGGATCTTCAGATATTTTTCTAATTTAATAACTACTAATTATTAGTTTAACTAATTGGGCTTTAGTAGCTTTAGGTATCTTTATAAAAATCTTGAATTTTCTATTTTTATTATATAATATATTATATACTAATTATTAAAGTATATTATCCAGTGTATTGTATCATAATATAGATATTATCTATATCTTATATATAAATAACCAAAGTTAAGATATAGATAATGGTTATTTCTGGTTTCTATTACTTCCAGTATCTTTAGTCAGTATTTTGTGATGTATTTCTGATTATAGTATAAAGAGTATATATCTATATAATATATAATTTAAAAAAATTTATTATATTTTTATTATTTTTTGTTTTTCTTGAAGTGTTTATACAGGTATTTTTTATAATTATATTAAGGATCTAGTCCAGCTACTCTTATCTTCCAGCTGACTTTGAATAGATGATGGTAATAATTAATATTATCTTATTTATATATTAGATAAAATTCTGGGTAATAGAAATATTTTTATAGATATAATCTTTAATCTTTGTTCTGTATTTCCCAATATTTTAGATCTTAATATAGATAATACTGTATAATTTCCTTGAATTCTAGGTAGAATTATGCCAGATTCTCTTTAAACTCTTTTATAATATAATTTAATTAGTAAAAGATATTATTTTTATTATTTTCTTGGTTTTCTTTATCTTTATCTTGTTATGTTAGGCATGGTTTACTGGTTTCTAATAGAGATTTTTCTGGGATATTAAATATCTTACTAAGTCTTTTCTTACTAGATTTAAAATCTTCTAGTTAAGTACTATACTCTTTATTCAAAGAATTAAACTTATTCTAAATTATATCAGAATATTTATTTTCTAGAGCTAGCTTATTATTATTATCAATCTTCGCGGGCCAATTAAATGGTTCGGATAATTAGTAAGTTTCTTATAGCTTTATTAGTATTATTAGTTTATCTATATTAATTTATTATTTTAACTAGTCCTAGTATACCCTGCTTACTGGCACTAATAATTATTCTTATTATATGGCTTATAGCTTCTTATTACTTAATAATTTAGTTTTTATCTAGATTTCTGTGATATTATAGGCTTCTTTAACCTGGTTTTTATCAGTAGCTCTTAGCTGTTTTTGAGATTATTATTATTTTTATTTATAATTCTTTAACTAATAGCCTGTCTTGCTGCAGTTGAAGTATAAGTAGTTTTTTTTATGTTTTTTAAGCTTTTTCTTAGAAATTCTGTTTAATTAAGTCTGATACTGTGTTATATCCAGTTCTATTAATTTTAATTTATAAGAATTCTTATATCTCAGGCTTCTAGGTTGTACTAATTACTTATTATTAATCTTATAATCCTACTGGCTGTTCTGTTGAGATATAGATTTATTAATTTATTAGTCTTTCTTCTGTTTTATATTAAAGTTGTATAACTTATTATTAATCTTAACTATTATCTTGATTATTTTTTATAATATTTTTAGTTATTTCTATTAAATAAGTTTTTCTTAGATTTCTATTTTAAGTTCTTTTTTGAATTATAAGATATATATATTATTATTCTAATCCAGGTGACTGATGATCTGCTGGAATTTAGAGATATACTTAGATATTGATTTGGTTTGCTTGAGTTACTATAGCTTTTATTCAATATTATATATAGTGTTAATATCTCTAAATATTTATTTGAGATATTCTTTAAATTTGCTATAACTAGAAAAGATAGTTTTAGTATTATTATCCTAATTCTCTGTTAGCTTTTTCTGGTAATCACAGATATATGATTTGAATTAACTGAATGCTGTTCTGGTTAAGTAGATAAATATAAAAAAGATCTTATTAATCTTATTTTAGAGTTTTTTTTAGTTAATATTAAGATACAAGTCTAATTGGGTTATAAAAGCCCTAAGCTTTGATTAACTGCTGTTAAATAGTTTTAATAATTAGATTTTAACAGATTTAGCTGTCAAGCGCCTCTTAAACTACTGGTTTTATTATTTTAAAACACTGATATTTTTCTGTAACTAATTAATTATTCTTATTAACTTCTATGCTATTAATATATATATTTATTATTATTATTCTTCTTCACTGGTATTTGAGCCCTGCGGTGAGGTGTGTGGTGTATTAAGAGTTATTAATATAATAGATAGTTATAATTAATAATACTTATACTGACAGTGTTTAATATATTAAACCCTAGGATTATTTTTCTATTCCTGTTAGCTTAGCTTTTACTGGTATATATACTATTAAACTAGATTAAGATAATATCAGACTGATAGTTTATTTAAGGTACTGGTCTTGAATAAAAGAAGAGAAATAAGACTAGATAATATCATGCAGTTATCTGTAAGTAAATATAGATAAGTATTATATTATTAAGCTTCCAAGGATAGATTACTTAAAGATAATATAGATTAAACACGAAGAACAGGATTAATTAAATATATAAATAAGTATTTTTATATATCTTATCCTCTGTATATTAAGTGGTATATCTTTCTATATACTATATATTATATATTATATACCCGTTCGTGTATTATCCTATATATCCATAGTTATATAATATATAGCTGTTCCGGATATTATAAGAGTAATCTGGAATTCTCCTTGATAAGAGTTTCTGTTTATTCAAGCACTGTCTTTATCGGCGCTTTCTGCCTAGCGAGTCCGCCTTACTAGCAGGTCAACTAGCAGGGGTCTGTAACACACCGCTGTTTCACCATTTACGTCACTCAGTCTTTGAGTATAAGAAATTCATTTGTTAGACCACATAGAGAAGAAAGTTGGGTAGAAAAAAGAAAAGCAAAAAGAGAAAAATACATACAACAGAAGGGATTTGCTGGTGGTCACCTATCTAACTACTAACCTCCCGGTGTGTGGCTTAAACGTGGCCAGAAGATGGATGGATACTGCTTAGGTAAGCTAGTAGATAAGATTATTTTATAATTATAATTTATTATATTATTTATATAACTGGATATAAATTAGAATAAGTATTTTTTAAAGATAGATAAGCTATTATCTTGATTATATAATATTTAATAATTTTATTTTTAGTTTTTAAATATTTAATTATATATATTATTTCTTTTATATTATTATCTATAATATACAGAGACTAGTTAATTAATATTAATTAAGTTATAATTATTTTATTATCTTACTAATAATATAAATAATAATGAAATAATTTAATAATTAGATCTGCTCATCCCTGTTATTCTATATAAAGTTAGAATTTTTAATTCTTAAAAAAATTTTGATATAATATTATAAGAAGGGCCGCCTAATCTTATAAATTATTTAATTATTATTCAATAAATAATTAATAGGTAATAAGTAGAGTTATTAAAATTATATAATTATTTAGAATATAGTTATTATTTTTAAACAGTTTAAAGTATAAATTATAAATAATTCTAAAAGAAAAGAACAAATCTAGAAGAGACTAATATAAAATATATAAATTTAATTTTTAATATTCTTTTTCTTTTATAATTAAGATTCTGATATTTATTTTTAATAAATTAAGATTAGATACTGTGTCTTACTTGCACACACATCTGGCCAACCATGATGATAGACATCTTCAATGGATGATTCATCAAAGCGTGATGGAGTCACCGTGGGGTAAGAGACTATATACATTTGCACTGGGTGGCGGAGGAGGACATCAGAATGTACTTTCTATAATGGGAGTAACTGCATCTGGTATTTACTGTAAGCTCAGGCTAGTCCCGATATTGGATGACTACTAACCCTTAAGTGAATGACTTTATCTTACCAGTGTTACTTTAACCACATATGTACCTAATTCTTTGTCAGGTCAATGGCTTTCTCTCCCTTTCCGTTTTAGTGCTCGCCCCTTGCTACTGTTAGTTCACTGAGTATATATTGTGAGAATCCGCTCACATTCACCTAACAAGCTTATAAGTGTGCGCGTTCTGAGTCTGTTGACTCAGAATGCTAGTATTTTACCAGTTAGCCGAGCGGTTAGCTCGAATGCAAGTACTGGAGCATTCACTCCTAAAGGGTACAGTAAGATGCATGGTGACGGATGGACTACAGATGAAATTAGCCTCAGATTGCGAAGGATTGGACTCTTAAAATTAGTTGTAAGATTGTCGGTCCATAATGTGGCAATTCGATTTGCTTGTGCCCGTCAAGAGATACTGGACAGCCTCATCAGTATCTAACCCTGAAGAAATTAGACAAGTCATTAATCAAATTTGCCAGCCCTTGTGGCAATGTGACATCAGGTGCTGTGGAATGGTATCCCGTCAGTTTGCTCAAACTTTGGACCGTCAAACAGCAATAATGCCGCCCATTCGTGAGGTTGTAGATTCAAGCAATATAAGTGACCTAAGCAAAGAAACAAGCGCTACATTCGTTCCGGGCTATGCATTCAATTGCGTTTGCTATTGAACAAATTGCAAGAGTTGAGTACCCAGACTGGTGTCATAATTAGATGATAGCATCTTTAGGGGGGGAATCTGAGTGGATCAAAAGGGTGTGAAGAGTCCCTTAGACTACTTGACAATGGATCCCGACCCTGGCTTACAGATTTACTACATAGACATCAGTGAGTTAGCTGTCAGCTGTCATCGAACGAATTATTCAAAAATTCCGTCAGTTTTCTATTACTAGACTGCACTATAGTTCGAACACCCAAGACCACAGCGAGAGCCACTAGAACCAAATCCGAGGCTTATCTTGACAAGGGGGCTGCGGTCGGATACCCACCAAGGGCAAAAGCCACCATCTCCAGATGTGCTCTACAGGCCATCAGGCCCGGAGTGCCCGAGTGGCGGATAAGGTTTAGATCAGAGTCTCCTCGACAGCAGACAGGGTACCGTTGAGAATGGCACCAGCGTGGTGGCGAGCAACCAGACCGTAAGCGAACTGATACCTGCAGGGGTGGTTAGCACCAAATAACATAAATCCGATCAGTTCATGCAGAAAGAAAAAAAACTTACTGGTCGAACCAGGGGAGGAGCTCGTTCAAGCCGGGGGTGTTGCGCCAGTCGCGCATGAGGTCGCAGACAATGGCGAAGATACCCATCAGCGTGACACCGGCCTTCTCCATGCGGCGGTTGGCATCGATGGCGAGCTTGGCATCGAATGTACCGCTGGCCTCGGTGTTGGCATACACCTCGTAGCCCTCATCGATCAGGGAGAGAGCCAAGAAAGCGGTGCCTGGGATAATTAGCCTCCAGATGGGCTCATATCGGCATGGGTAGAGGATGACTTGCAAACTTCAGTGACAATTCCACCGATGATCAGCTGCTTCTTGCCAGTAGCCTTGACGGCAGCACGGAACTCAGCATTGTCCCAGGCGTTGACCTCACCTTGACGGCGGACGAAAGTGGCGTTGGGGTGCATGTCGGTGATCTCCTTGAGAAGAAGACCGTTGGGGCCAGTATCGGAGGAGGAGGTCAAAATGGTGGGAAGGTCGAAGGCCTTGCCGATGGCGGCGTGGGCAATGATGTTGTTGCGGAAGTCGTTGGTGCTGTAGTCGCGCACCAGCTGGGTGAGACCGACCTGGTGGTCAATCACAAGAAGGGCCTGGGGGGAATTGTTAGAGACTCATTATCTCATTGCACGAGTGTGTTCTTGTCGAAGACCTACCGCATTGTCCTTGTCAATACGGTTCCACGCCTGAACCGAGGAGACTCCAAGAGCCAAGGCTGCGAGAATGTTGCTGAAACGCATTTTGAAGCTGAGAAGGTGCTGCTGGACTGGCTTTGGTCTTTGCTTGCTGTGATTCTCGGAGTGATGAGTCTATGATGATTCTCTATTGACCCGGGCGATGAGCACTTCTTTATACCCACCCATCCACCATCTGGAAGCCTCTGGTCTCTCCAAAAATGGAAGGGTATGCTCAGCATTGGGTCATGATTGTCAAGCATCTACTCATCTCGAAGCGATGGGGATCTCGTATTGCAGATGGCTCGGGACTGGAGTGACTATGATGAGTTGGGTTTAGGGCTCCTGCTCTCGGGGCTCACTACTATGACGGAGTACTGCTGCTGGGTTACTAACTTACTATTAATGCATTATGGAGTGCTTATGGGATTCTGACTGGCCGGGCTTGGCAGTGCTAATCGGGCGCCCCGAGGAAGTCGCTCCCCACTCAGCAGCTGCAGTTGTACATCCTTCCAATCACCTCCCGCCAATTAGATTGATAGTGGATTCACGAAGGAGCTGCCACCCAACCAACAAGCCCGTATGAAAGTGCACTAACACGCTCTAGATAACCCTCATTGGGAATATGGATCCTATTTCACTCCCTTGTTCCTTCTCCAACCATTTTGCTCCGCCCGGATATCATCCCGCTCGCCCCATTCGTTCAATTACTGGTTAGCAGAACCACCCATCCCTAAAGCAGCATCCGTGTGTCTCACATTCTGCATCAGTTGTTCCGTATTACGAAGTGACGGGTGAATGTGGGGACAATCGGCTATCAATCTACGGAGTAAAGGCGATTCTAGTCCCACTGCACGGAGTGGCGGCGCCAGTCACTCCGAATTGACGAAGAAACGTTCTCGTGCTTGAAATGCTGGGCCTTGTATAGAATGAGGGACTGCGACTCTGTCGGCAGCTTTGCTATCCCTGCATGACAGGGGTCTCGCTTCACCGTAACCCGAATCTAGGCTAAGGGGGGCAATCACCTGCCAGCACTGGTGCGTCTGTCTGCAGAAACGGCTCACAAATTCGCTATGACTTGCAATTACGAGAGGATGACCCATATTGCTCTGCTTGCACCAGCTGCAACCAGGAAAGCTTACCTTTCCATGGGTTAGGGAGCACAGTCGAAGAGGCCGGAGCCTGCCTGATGACACCGTCTGCGCAGTCTGTGTATCAATCAATATACTATACTAAGCTATACTATATTTCCCGAGGAGCTGAAGCCGGAATAGAGTAATGTAAAGTGATTCCACCCGCTCTTGAGTCTCGTGTTCCTAGGTATCGGAGGGTTCCCAATGGGGCCCAAATCTCTATGTACCTTCCTTTCCTGGCTGATTGCTAAGATGAGATCTCATGCAGCGTTCACTGCAGGACTTTGAGTTGCATCCAGGGAAATTAGTGTAGACTTAGAACGGCTGACATACCGGCATGACTGGTACTTTATCTTGTACCTGTAGACTCAACTTACCCAATCCGTGGACTAATTCATACCAGATATGTCGGTACAGGCGACGGCCCTGGCGGTGGCTGACCGAATCTGGAGCCACCCCCAGGGCTGAGCCGGACTGATATGCGGGTTTTGCACATGATCAGTGAGTAGGCTCATAGTAAACAGACTCGGAGCGCTGGGAGTGGCATACGGGTGTTGTGGGGGGCGGGGGGTTGGCCGCCATTAGGAAGCCCTTTCGCCAAAACCAGAGAGGTGAAGGAGTGCACCCAGCGTGCGATTAGCGTCCCTCTACCACACCGCGGGTTGCGGTAGTAGAGTACCAGTTCAGTGAGGCCTCGAGAACATGCCAGAAAAGGGCTACAGAAACCATTAGCTATAGACCGGCCTGCACTTGAATATTGGCGAACCTGGAAGTCGGGGTCGATATGACCGGGTCTTGTTGCACAATTGATACCCTAAGAATAAACCATACAGACCTAAGATCAGACAGTCACACTCTTTGCCATGAGAGACCTATCCTTTTATTGTGAACCCGCAACCTTGAAGGGTCCTTGGCCAGATAAACGGACGGAGCCTCTCATAAGCAGTGTACCACTTTCCGCTCTCTTAACTTATTGGAGGTTTTTATGCGAGGAAGAGTAGCAAGACGCATCCTCGGAAAGTCTTATGCTTCATTTATATGATTGGATATACAAAGGCAAGTCGATGTTCAACAAGCCAGTGATGCAACCTTCATGATACATAATAGCGAATAAAAGATGTCGAGAACACCCTCTCTCATGACCTAGGCTGAACTCAATTAGAGCATCCTCCCATCGACAGCCTCGGGCCATAGAATGACATAACTTCTATGACCTATGGAGGCGTTGATTGCAACCCGTTCCTGTGCTCCTCGATGTTAAATCCCTAGAGAATACCCGCCCGAAAGAGAAAGAAACTAACCAGGCAATCTGTACCAGTCATTCGAAGAAATTGTATTTGGTGATCTATCAAAAGTGCCATGATCTCCTACCTTCAACCTGTTCGTGTGACATCCCGAGTAAACAAGCTCACAGAGAGTATTACCTGGCCCGACTTTTCCTCTAGGTCTTTTGAAATCGCCCAATGTGAGCCCTCTATTGTAGCAGATGAACTATCCCCTATCCAGAACAACCGGCTCATTCGTAAATACAATACTGATACTGATAGAAGTTGTGAATGCCAATCTCCCTCATGCCTTCCAACCAACTATATCACGCAAGGTCTGAGTCATGGCACCGAGTGCCTGAGGGCTCTTTGTCGTGTTCCCTTTCTGATAACCCTCTCTGTACGGAATGCGATCCTCTCCTATCACTTATCAGTGACTGCCAACCTGTAGAGTCGCTCTCCAGAAACTCACCGAGTAGAGCCTTGACCCACGATTTCGGGGCAGCGTTGTTCTCACCATCCCATATGGTCAGAAGATATAACGCAGTAGTTCCATATTCAGTCGCATGTCGAAGCGCAGAGTTATTGAACTGCGGATTGACCCTCTCTGCAAGATCGTAGCGGTTCTTCGTAGCCTTAGCGGCTATCTCTGGCGTCACAAACAGACTATTCGAGTGGATATCATCCAATCCCAGATCCTTGGCTACAGGAGCCCAAACGGTAGCATCGAAGTGGACATCATCCCCGAAATAGATATCATTGCGCGTGAGCGAGCCGTCAACTTCAATCGTGTCGTGTCTGGCGAGATCGAACAGGTGGAAAGTCTCATTGGGACGATTTGTCGTGGATATGTTGAATTCGAAGACCATGTCAACGACGGTGGTGAAGGAACCCGGCGCCCAGCCGTATGCATCTTGTATAGCTTTGTTGATTAAGTCGTAGTCAATGTTCTTGCCGTCGCGGGGAAGATAGCCGTGATTTGCGAGAGCATTCAACCCAGGGCATGGTGAGCGACCTGTCATATCTTGTTAGCATACTGTTAGCAATATCACTTCACTGGCTTGAAGTCCTACTGTCGAAAGGACCTGGGGCTTGGAATTTATGATCCCCGAGCTCGGGAAACGCAAGACAGAATGTCGCGAATGCGACCAGTGGAAGAGTATAGGTCTTCATTGTAACAATTTAGTAGGTAGGGCAATGCAAACAGGATGTCAGAAAGTGTACGGTCTTCGATTGCTGAGTATGGATCTCGAATCTGGGCAGCAGGTGTTTAAGTAGACTTCATTGCTGGCGCAGTACGAGCGACTGATTTGAAATCGAGGCAGTGCGACACGGCAGACATTCTGATCTGCATGTTCAGCCTCGTATTTATCACCATCTTATTGATTGGAATTGGGTATGCTCAACGATGGCGGTCACGAATACGCTTGATCATCCTCTGCTCTGCTCTTCGGATACGCTGCAGGAATCTTGCACGCCTTAATAATACGCCGCATCCGTAAGCTTATTAATACGCCCCGGTATACGCTCCTTTAAATGAGCCAAACAATCCTGCAGGAGGCTAATAATTGCTGGCTGACTACAGCGAATCCATTCTGTAGTACGTTTTCTGAGTTTTTAATTCTTGGTCCCAATTGAATTGACCATTGCTGCCTGAGTTTGACAGGATATTTTCCGCCCTACTCTTTCACCCCGCGGGTGCATTGGACATGTACACCAAGCACAGCCCCCAAACCTCCAGGTCAAATCATAGCCAGCATTTTCGGTTTAGGTCTTAGATGAAAAACAGGACTGACATGGGAGACGATAGAACATGAGAAGTGAACATGGATCGTGGGATTATCCAGGAAAAACTGCAGTTCTATCGAAAGGGACATGAAAACACACGGAAGGAACAGTGTGGTGCGGTGGGTGCTGGTCAAGTTGACCTGTCACCTTATAACATGCTTAACCAATGATCGGGCGCACCGATGTACTTAACGATGCATCCATATATGGCATCCAATCAATCTACAGAGTAGTAGGTCTAGCGCAAGCGGGTCCTCCTATTTTACTATGATCGAAAACCCTTTATGACACTTACTTCAAGAAACATAAGATACATTCAGTCCGTTGAAGAAAATCTTTTTTCTAGAGATCTCCGACAGCGTTGAAGTTAGGGAACCCTAATGAGACCGTACGTGTACTTGATAACGATTAAAGGCAAATATTTCTTATCTCTACTCTTTCCTCTACGTTGAAGAACAGGTACTCTTGTTATAGGAGGGAACTTCCTCAACCAGGCACAGCAGCTCCCTGCTTAAACACTGATTCTAGGTGACATGGGCTCGGTATAAGGTAGAGAAGGATCTGCAGTTTTTATAAATAATTTATATTTAATCTAGCAGAGATCTTGCTATGTAATCTTAAATATTATTTATATATTTTTTACTTAAATTTATATATTATTTTTACAGGACTTTATCTATCTGATTTAAGCTATTACTATTAGAATCTATTCTATATATTTTATTTCAAGAATAAACTATTATATAATATTCAAAAAGCTTATATAAAATAAGAAGATATTAAAAATAAGCTTACTAATCCAATTATACTAAATATTATTTAAAACTAATAATATGGATTTTCTAGAATCCAGTTATCTAGCTTAAATAATTAATATCTATATTTAATTTATCTTCTACTATATTTAGAACAGACAATTCTACTACTATTAATTAACTAGAATACTTTTAAAATCTTATAAATCTTTTTCAGAATATTATAATATCTTTATTAAACTTAATAGTACCTCCTAGATTATTAGTTATATTTAAGTTAAATACTATATTATTTACCAGAGATTATTTTATTATTCTTATTATTATTTATATTTTTATTATATCTGTCTTATTATTTTTCTTATATATTTTTTTTAGAAAACTTCTTTAATCTTTATCCATTTTTTAAAAATTTATTTATAAATAGTATTCAGCTCAGTATACAGTTACTTTCAGATAATATATATTTAGTAAAATTCCTTTTCTTAAATAATTATATTTATAATCTAGATCTTCAGTATTTTTTATTATATTTATATATAATCCTTTTTAGCTAGAGTATTATAATATTTATATATCTTCTGGTTAATCTTGACCTTAAACTCCTGCTATTTATTTTTTATCTGATAAATATATAGTATACTGTACTATTATAATATTTTTTATAAAATTTATGGTTTACTTTTATAATCTTACCTAGCTTTGCTAATTATTAGTTAATATTAATCAGCTTACTGCAGAGCTCAGCCAGATAATTTTTTTATAAGTAAAAAGACTCCAGGCTGTTCTCGATAGTGGTGAGCTCTGTCTGGATCTGATCATGGTGCTCCTTGTTGGTTGCAATATTACTGTAGATCAACATGTTTGGGATGTTGGGGGATGAGGACGGGGTAATTTTTTCATGGCAAATCGGTTGCTCCAGGGGCTAGCTTTTTCCTCACCATGCGCAGAAGAGATATTATCAATGTAATTAATGACTGCTGCTTCAAAAGAGAGATCGTTCGAAAATGAATGTGGGGAGCTATTCATAGAAAAGGTTCGCCACGCGGGATATGACGGCATCATGTGGCCATCCCGTGACCTCTTTCCAGCTCTTGTATGGAACATAGAACCCTACATTTCTTCTTCTGGTGAGTGTGAAGTAAGGATAATCATAAGAATAATAGATATATGGGCTTGAGTACTCCATTGTGGGGTAAAAATGATAGTCACAATATCCATCTACTTTTCAATATTATCTACGAACTATGCAATGATAGGCACAACCTATTTATATTATCAAGTGTAGACGTTGAGTATAAATCGTACCAGCTATTAACTCGACTCTGTGTTTGAAATAAGTGAGTCTCTGATGGAACCACTCGATTTACTCAGGCTTCTTAAGACCATGACAGCTCGAGATCCTAGAGCGGGCTAATCTATGGCTTGGACGGGTTTGTGATAAGGCCTCCGTTCTTATGGCTGAGGTATTTCGACTTGTTTCTCTTGGCGCCAGACTGTTCAACTCATTCTGTTCCGCCTACATGCCGTGGACACCAATTAGGTGCAATTGAATATCCTGCATATGCCAACAGCGGTGACGTGGCCTCCCTCCCCATGCTGACAGCGCTGCACGATTATTCTTTGCCCGACCACAGTAATCTTCAGCGCATGCTTTTGGTGGGAGATCTTCCAAGACACAAAGCAACACAAGAAGTAAACCTGTTTCCTCAATGGACATGGCTCTTCTGTCAGTACAGAACTTTGATAACAGAAATCTCCTAGTTTTGTTTCACGATGTTCTTGCAGGTGAGGATAGATGACATGGGCCCAACGTCTACCCGAATGGCGTCCAACGCGCATGATTTGGCCCCTAAAAATGCCGTGTGGCTGTTCCTGCGGGGTAGGAGACGTGACTTCCGCTGCACGATTGTATTTCACGAACCAATTCTCCAATCCCCCGTATCTATCGGTACCAAGGGTGACCGAGCGGAAGTACTGTTCAGGAGGCAGATAAAGAAAACTACATAAGATATGCATTGGAACTCATTGAACTTGCTTTAGATAGTAGAGATGAAGTCGTGCTACTTATTCCAACAATATATCCTCATCCAGCAGGCCGCGCAAGGCACTAATCCACCGCAAAATTCCGTCCTGATGTTTCATTCTGCGATTGTACTCAAATTGAATAATCAATCTCGAATCAAGTAACTGCACTTGTACACCAAAAAGGGCGAACCGACGAACTGGTTGGCCTCGAGCACCGAGCCCACCTTCGGTCGAATCAGAGAAAGCCTGGGAACGCTCCAGTCGCGTTTTGACAGGCGTTGTCGCTTGCCCATGGAGGCCCGAACCAAGGTAGTTCAACAGCACCTCAATCCTATTGTGACTCTGGAATGCAGCCGCACCATCTTCTGTAAGATACCGCGAGATAAAGTACGGCCAGCCACTGCCGGGTATTGAAGACCGAACTGCGTGGGTTCTGTGCACAATAGTTGACAGGCTATCATGGGCTTTGACTGGCACTGTTACGGGGGTCACCGTGGTGAGCCATCCCACAGTTCGAGATAGGTCAATCTCTTGCCCTTCAGGTCTGCGGCCATGATCGTAACGGAAGACCGTTGGTGGACACCGGTCGTCAAAGACCATGACAAAAGAGCGTAATAGAGCAGCTATGATAAAGTCTTGTACATCAACACGGTCATTTGTGTCCAGCAATTTGGCTGTCTGGTCTTTGTCAAGTGCAATCTCTTCTCCCACGAGATCTTGGAGGAGATTGGTCTCATGTTCCATCTGCCAGTAATCAAAATCCGCGGGAGGAACAGAAAACGGAAGCACGGATGCTGGATCCAACATCTGAGCATGCTGCTCCTGCAATTTACACCAGTCTTGAAAAGGATAGGACTCCTCCTCCGCATAACGGAATTCTCCACGTAACAAGAAGTCTTCCAGGTCGCCCAAAATCACGTTCCATGATACCATATCTGTCACTAAGTGATGAATGGTAAAGAAAAGGACCTGGTCCGTCTCCGTCTCTACCAGGTCTGCTGCGAGAAGTGGGCCCGAGTAGATATCAAGGCTCACCCGACTGGCCTCGAGGGCGGAGCACGTATCTTCGAGAGCTGAGGATTGGTGCGTTTGTAAACGGTATGAAGTAAAGACCTCATTCGTAATCATTTGCGAATGCCGCTCGTTGCCCCGCTGCTGATGCTGAAATCGCGCTCGCAGCATTGGGTGGCGCTTAAACTATGCGCTGGATTGCTTCATCAAGCTGGCTAACGGTGGTGTGTGACGTTAACCGGAAGGGAAAGCTATAGTGAAACTGCCGGTTTGTCGTGAGGGAAAGTTCATCTTCTCCAAGGGCCACTTGTGCATAGAACTGTTGCATAGGTGATAAGGCGAAGGGAACCCCGACTAGACTGGGTGCTTTAGCGCGGGATATTTTGGGAATTGCTCTCGCGCTCGTTGCAAGTTCCTTCAGCGAAGAAGATCCGAGTACCGCTGTTAGTGGGAAATCGATGTTGGCCTTTCGCGCCAGGCCTGCCACTTGCATTGCAGATATCGAATTACCTCCGAGGCGGAGAAACGAACTATTCAAGTGAATGCGTTCGAAGGGAAGGTTGAGTACCTTACCCCAAATGGTTCGAAGAGTCTCCTCCGTTTGACTCCATGGTCGAGTTTCAGTCGACTCGTTCTGGCCCAGGTTCACAATTGTAGTGAAGGTTGGGTCATCGAGCCCGGCCAGCCAGTTCAGCAATATGCGACGATTCGACTTACCCGAAACGAGTAGTGGTATAGAACTGAGCGGAACCCAAACAGTGGGTATCATGTACGATGGTAATTGGCTAGAAAGCGAGTTTTCAATTATCCGCACATCTTCAGTTATTGTTGGCAGAACATGGTTGGGTAGCAAAGTAACGTCGTCCGGGTTCTGCGCAAAGGATGTCACCCTGGTTAAGGCCAGAAACCCGACCAGCTGCCGGCTGCAACGGCCAGAAGTGGGATACACGACAACAGCATTATTCACTAGCGAATGTGTCCACAAGCGATGTTCAATCTCACCGAGCTCGACACGTTGCCCGCGTATCTTGACTTGCAAATCCTTCCGGCCGACGTATGATATGCTACCATCTCGAGTGTATCTCACTAGGTCTCCGTTTAAATATACTCGATGTTTCTAGGAGCTTCTTGCGGTAGAATGGTACTGCTCTAGCCACCGGGGAGGACGGATGAAAGATGCTACCGTGCGGTGCGAATCGTTTAAGTACCCACGGCCCACGATAGAACCTTCGATTAGAAGTTCCCCGGCGGCCCCGAGAGGGGCAAGCTTGTTGGGGTCTTGAGGACAGACAATCCAATTTGCCGATGCGAGTGGCTTCCCAAGCTCATTAGGCGCCACATCAGTGTTAACAATTCGGTTCACCGTTGTGAGAATAGCACACTCTGCGGGGCCATATCCATTATATAGACGAACTGACGCAACCCACGTCTTCACATCAACTTCGGAGAGCGCTTCGCCGGCCAGGACGAGGTCTTGTAGGCTTGGCACACTTGTAGCCAGCAGAGTCCTTGCGAGGGAGGGTGTTATTAGAGCCCAGGTGACGGCAAGGTCGTTCATGGTTCCAGGTAGATCATCATCCGAGCGGGCCTCTTCACGGGGAACGCAGACACACGCACCAACCGTCAAAGAGGCAAGCATCTCCAGAATCGAGCTGTCGAAATTATAAGAGGACACTTGGAAAACACGGCTTTGTTGCGTGAGGTTGGTTCGGTGCGTATAGATCGCGGCTGAGCTGAGGAAATTGCTGTGTTCAACGAGGCAGCCCTTTGGTGTTCCGGTGCTCCCAGATGTAAATTGATTGTATAAGCCAGAGTCAGCCTGAAGACTGTCGGGGAGAGCTCCATGTTTTTGGTCCCGTAGCTCTGTGAGCAGTCTTTCATCAACCAGCACCACTGCGTCCACGGGTTGCGCATCCGGATACTGAAAGAGCCCGTCGTGTGGCGAAATGGCTAGGATAAGGCGAGGTTGACCGGTTTGCAATATCTCTGCTCGGCGTGATGGAGGATGGGAAGGATCAAGAAAGATGAATATGCCTCCGGCTTTGGCGATGGCAACTATACCAACAACTGTCCACGGCGTCTTCTCCGAGCACCACCCTACTTCGTCCTGAGGCATCAGACCCAAAGAGATCAAATATCGGGCGAGCCCGTCACTTAGTCTATCTAGCTCGGCATATGTAAGCTTGACACCATGTTGGGAATCAACAGCAAGTGCTTCGGGGCTCCAAGCAACCTGCTCGGCGAAGATAGCCGGGAATGAGGTCTCCACAGTGGGGATGTTTTCGGGGTGAAGCGCGCGAATCTCCCTGAGATCGTTGGGGCTGAATGCTTCAAGATCACCGACTGGACGGTCAGGATCACTTTGACAAAGCTGGTCAATGAGGAACACGAACTGATGCAAAATTCGGTTCATTTGATAGGAGGGGATAACCCCCGGATCGTAGGAGGCGCGGGTATGGATACCCCTGTCATCCATCGTACATTCAACGGTGAGAGCATAGGACAAGAAATTTGTCTCGCAGCCAACTTCCATCTTGCGCCATCGAAGAGGTGTTTCACTCTCTGGACTTTGAGTGTGAATGACCAGCAGATTGTCCGAGTCGCATGCTACCTGGCAGTCGTGGCCGAGTTCGCGAATGTGTTGAAGGCCAGCTTGCTCATACGGAATTAGGTCCAAGACAGCGTCTTGCAGGTCACCCAGAAGCTGTGAAATCTTGGTATCTGCTTTCCAGCGCACGCGCAATGGAAATGTGGTGATGGTAGGGCCTACAATTTTCGTGATCCCATTGACAGGTGCATTTCTCCCTGATTGTGTCACGGGAAACACCACGTCTGAATCCCCAGTACCACGATACAGCAACAGAAGAATTGCCCATGCTGCCCGGATGATAGTGGCAAGGGTAATGTTGGATGGCAATTCAAAGGGCAAAACGAAGGTTTTATGAAGGCTTTGAGAGGCTCGTGGATGATGGCTTGGGGATGGCAGATTTGCAAGGACAGCAAGGACGAGGCGCGCTTCACGGGCTGCCGCTACAAGCCTGATGGCAGTGAGAGAATTGCCTCCAAGCTGGATGAAGCTATCATTAGCACTAATCTGGTCGTGTGCAATGCCGAGAACCCGACTCCAGGCTTTCTGCAAGGCACGTTCGGCGACCGTCATTGGCAATTCTGGATTCGCGTACTGCCGCACAGTAAATTTCGCGCGCTCGGGCAAGCTGACACTTGCAGCAAGACGGTGCAAGACCATGCGGTCGACCTTGCCATTTTTATTCATTGGAATGAAAGAGACTGGAAAGAACAAGGTAGGGACCAAGTGAGGATCCATGTGCTGTAACAGTAAATTTCGCACATCTACCAGCGCGGTATGATCGGTTGGCTGGAGCAGCTGGGGGGTTGCGTTCGTAGTACTCCCCTGGTCAGGTTCCGACCCTAGGGGACGGAAATATATAACAACTTCTTGTTTGTCTGGATGCTCTTCAGCAGAGAGGGTACCGACGACGAAATCGAATGGGATAGGCAATGCCCGCTGAATCCGGTGTTCGATCTCACCAAGCTCAATGCGTTGGCCATTAATCTTGATTTGAGTATCTTTACGACCAACATAGAGAATGCTGCCAGCGTCGTTGTATCGGACTAAATCGCCTGTCTTGTAAAAGCGTCGGTGAGCTAATTTATGGGGGTTTATCCTGCGGCACCACTGGGGATCACTGATGAACGAGCTAGATGTTTTCTGCGGATCAGCCAGGTAGCCGTCCGCGAGAATAGGTCCCTCGATAAGTAGTTCACCAATGGCCCCCACGGGTGCCAGGATATGATGATTATCCGCATCCGCGATCCAGAGGTTCTCCCCTGTCAAGGAAGAACCGATGTCCCTGGGGTCATCACCGGGAGATACGGCATGCACGGAGGCAATTAGAGTAGCCTCAGCAGGACCATAGGTGTTCATCAGAGTGATCTGATTGGCCCACTTGGCCACGTCCTGCGCATGAGGAGCTTCACCAATGAGGTACAACGTCTTCAACTCAGGCACTTCTTCGGGCTTCAGCAGGCGAGCCACCGTCCGCGTTAGAATAGCCATATTTACTTGCAATGTCTGCATGGCGGATTCCAGCTTGGCCATACGATCATCCTCACCTGGGACGCAAACACAGCCACCCAGCGTAAGCGTAGTGAAAATTTCCATAACGGATATATCAAAGCGATACGATGAGTAATGAAGCATTCGACTGCCTGTAGCGATCCCCATTGCGCCACCATGAGCTGTGAGACTGGAGGAAAGAGCCGCATGAGATACGACAACACCGTTTGGAATACCAGTACTCCCAGAGGTAAAGATTATGTATGCTGGGCTTGTAGCTGCGAGTTCAGGAAGGGGTGATTGCGAATCGGGGGCTGGAGCGATCGTCAAACCGGTCGACAGGCTCAAGGGCGACAGCCCCAAGCTGGTAAATCTTGTAAAGGCATCGTTTTGAGTTACCACAAGGCTCATGCCTGTTGCTCCAATGATCTGTTCCAGGCGTTCGTCCGAGTCCTTCGCATCAATGAAGACGAATACACCGCCAGCTTTCAGAATTGCGAGCAGTACAACAACAGACCAGGAAGATCTCGGAAGAGAAAACCCAACAGGCTTCCCTGGGACGACCCCACATTGAATGAGAGAAATTGCCAGTCTGTTTGAGCGTCCGTCCAATTCCTGGAATGTCAAGGACGCGTCCCAAGCCCGCACAGCCTCCTTCGTGGGTGTCAGGAGTCGATGCTCGAGGATCAGATGGTGGACACAGCGGTCCACTGTGACGAATGGTTGACTGTTCCACTTTGTCACCAAATCCTCGTCGTAAGTGTTGAACCTTAAGGCTTCCCGAAGGCTTTCTCAGGCGGGATGGTCAGAAGCCCATGCAAAACTGTGCTCATCTGTTGCAGAATACGGCGAGCCTGCTCGATCGACAAAGCATTCAGGTCATGGGTTGCCTGCAGCAGGACCATTTCACTTGACAGCGTGCACTCCAAAACCAATGGGTAGCCGGTGAAATTGCGTTGTTCTTCAGGAACTTCAATAAAATTTAGTGAGCTATCTTCCAATGTCTGCAGCGCCGAGGCCGAATTATCAGTAGATTTTGGAAGTCGCATGCAGATCGTGCGTCATCTCCGAGTGCACGAATGTGTTGCAGACCAACGTGCTGGTGGTTGATCATGCTCACCGTGTCACTTTGCAATCTAGCAATGAACTCGGATATAGAGATCTCTTTAGAAATTGCGACTCGGAACGGAACAGTTGCAATAGTTGGCCCTGCGACCGCTTCGATACCGGCTAGATCAATATCGCGGCCGCTTAAGGTCACGCCAAAAACCACATCGGCACAGTTGGTATATTGGGCAACCACAAGGGCCCAGGCGGCTTTCAAGGGTGTGGCGAGGTTGGCTTGCCGTGTTGGCAGTCCGGTCAGGGAAAGGTTCAGCGTCTGGACACTCGGTCGCTGTTCCGAAGGTAATGAAGAAGCGCAAGAAGGGAACGGCGCGGTGATAGTCCCCGATAAGTAAGACGTCCAAAATGCATCACTTGCATCTGAGTTCTGGCTAGACAGATGTTGGACAAAGTGGTGAAAGGGGACCACGCTGAAAGGTGCTGGCAGTTGGTGGTAAAGCGAAGTAAGCAGCTGCCAGACCAAGGCATCGGACCAACCGTCATACAGGGCATGATGAATAGACCAGACAAAGTAATCGTTCTCTCTATCATGAACAATAGCATATCGAGACAGAGGCTTGCCTTCGGAAAATGGACGAGCATCGTCGTCTGCCAGATAATTGGGCAGACTCTCCGCGAAAGACCAAGAGGGCTCTTCTGGAACTATGAACTGATAGGCCATATTCGACAGCGCAAAAGATATGCGCGTTCGTAGGATATGGATTCTAGACACCACTTGTTGCCATGCGACCTTGAACCGTCCAATGTCCAGTGACGAGGGTAGCAGATAGATCCTTCGGGATACATAATTGCGAGGACTCCGCAGGGTCAGGGCGAACAAGCCTTCTTGCAATGGGGTGCAGGGATAAATATCTAGAATTTTTGTGTGAAGTCGGTGGGCCTGTGCGATCTGAGACCGGAGTATGTCTGGAGAGACATCTAGGGCCACAAGCTCATAAGGCGAATGCTCAGGTAAAGTGGGTTTTGAGCATGCATTGCCGCTATGTTGTAAGACGGCTGCCATGCTGGCCAATGTAGGATACTGGAATATTTTTCCAACGGGAAGTGAGAGTCCGAGTTTCCGAGCCGCGGCGGACAGGTGGATGGCGAAGACCGAATCACCACCAACTTGGAAAAAATGGTCATCTTGCCCGATTGCCGAAAGGCTCAGACCTCGAATATCAGACCACAATTGCTGTAATTGCCGTTGCGGCTCTGTTGCAGGAGGGCGCTTGAAACTCCCTGACAAGGAGAAGGACAACCATTGAGTTTCGGAGAAATCCACTGCAAGCGACGCTAATGCCTTGCGGTCCGTTTTGCCTGATAGGTTTTGCGGTAGATGTGGAAGGGGTATGTAAAATGATGGAATCATGTAGCTTGGAAGTGTTTGGGCGAGTCCTGCTTTCACCTCGCCCAGCAGGTCCCGAATAGCGTCTGTTACGGGTAAAATATATTGATGCTCGGAACGAGCATCACCGATACGCAGAGCCAAAAATGCAACAAGGGCCTTCCAGGCGCTGGCCATGGAGTTTGGCTTGCCCATCGCGGCGGCCCACAAATGTGAGAGATCCATCATCACTATATCGAACCAGATCTCCAGTGAGGTACAATGAAGAAGGCCCAGCCGCATCGTCAGGAAGCCAGGGTGCCGATGAAAGAAACCTTGCTTTGCTCAATGCTGGATTGTTAAGGTAGCCACGAGCTACTATTCGGCCCTCAACGACCAACTCGCCGACGGCGCCTACAGGAACCAGGCCGCTAGAAGTCTGTAGATTGACAATCCAGGCGCGGCAACCAACAGGAAATCCGACATGGGCTCCATGAGCTTTCGGAGTCAACGGATCGGTTGCAGTGCAGGTGACAGAGCACTCGGAAGGGCCGTATGTATTGATGAGTTGAACTTTCAAAGCCCACGAAGTAATCACGGACTGTGATGGGATCTCCCCACCGACCACCAGGGTTTGCAGACAGGGCACGTCTCCGGGAGAGATCATCGCAGCCACAGTGGGTGTGAGTTCTGCCCATGTCACCCCAAGCCGTCTCATGGCACTTCCTAAGTCGTCCATTCTCTCTGCTTCTGAGACGACACAGATACAGGCACCATGCATGAGTGTAAAGCATACCTCTTCGATACTGACATCAAAGGTGTAGGAAGCAAAGTGTAAGACACGTGACCCAGAGTGCATGTTCAACACGGGTTGCAATGGAAGGGCAGATGTACTCAGAGACCCATGCTCGAGAATAGATCCTTTCGGGGTACCTGTGGAGCCTGATGTGAAAATAACAAATGCTGGATCTGAAGGTCGTGAAGGATCCTGCAGCTGGTGACTGCGCAGATGTTCCCGAACGGCCAAGACAGCGTCAACCACGACCACAGCAGATACGATGGCGGATGCAGAATGTTGAAACTCAGATGAACATAAGATCACACGGGCTTTCGTATCCGATACGATAGTTTGTAACCTGTGGTGAGGAGCTCGAGAATCAAGAGGCACCCCAGCACCCCCAGCTTTCAGAATGGCAAGGATGCCGACGACAGCCCGATATGACTTGGACAAGATGAACGGGACTAGTACCCCACGGGTGACGCCATGTGCGATAAGTTCGCCAGCTAGATTAGAAGCCAGAGTGTCCAGCTCCGCATAAGACAGCGCCCCGTCAAAAGAGCACACCGCTTCGGCGTTCGGGTATCGGCGCGCCTGCGCCTCGAACGCATGGTGGATGCATACATCATTGATCGGGTAAGGTCTGGCATTCCAGCGGTGAATTTGCGACAGGCTCGTTGGGCCAGTTAGGTCGATGAGGCGCAAGTCCAGTTTTGGCGATTCCAGGATAGCAAGGATAGCTGCAGTGAAGGTGTCGGCAAGATGACTAGCCAGACTAGAAGAAATCCTTTGTGCCCAATGCTCTAGAACGACATCCAAACGATCACCAGATTCTTCCACATCTATCGTGACGTCGAACTAAGAGAGGTTATATAGCATTAGAGAAGACCATCATGGGAATGTGAGCATGACTTACTTCCGTAGGATCACGAGCTCTCTGGCGACGGAAAGTTATGAGAGGGTCCCGATCAGTGCGACTCGACGTAGAAGATCGCTGGAATGAAAATGCCGTGTTGAAAAGCCGCTGGTCACCAAGATTCAGCTTGTGAAGTATGTCTGCCAGTGGGCAAAATTGATGCGGTAAACCTTCAACAAACTGATTTTGAATCGAGTGCATTGTGGTATCAGGAGAAGAATGCAAGTCGAATGCAAGCTGACAGACGAGAATATTGAGGAAATGTCCTATCACATTCTCAACACCATCAATAGGGACATCTCTTCCCGACACAAGGTAACCGAAGCAGACACGATCACTGTCGCAGTATATGCGCAAAACCATGGCCCAAGCAGCTTGCAAGAGAGTGGACAGTGTAACCCCGTTGCGGATACAGAAGGTTCGTAGTTGAGAAACTGGCTGTGGTAGAGAAACTCGTGTGAATTCGATTTCATTCGATGGGCCCTCAGAGTGGACAGAGAGAGGGAGAAGACAGGGTTCGGCCCCAGACAAGCGATCGACCCAATAGGCAAGGTGCTTTTGCTTGTCATCCTGAAGGAGAAAGGAAACGAAGTCGCGGTACTGAGATAACGGTGAGCCGACGAGTTTACCATGGTAGGCTAGGGCAAGGTCACGAAATAGAATACTTGTCGACGCCCCATCACTGATGGCATGGTTCATGTCAAGCCGAACGAACACCGCTCCATTCTCTGCAACACATATAGCAAGTCGGTGTAGAGAGTGACCAGGGGCGAATTCAATGCCCGGCAGATCCTCGAGAATAGCCGTTGGATCACGAGAGTCAACCTGGGGATACATGACTTCTCCATTCCAATCACGTAGGACTGCCTGATCATATAGCCTGTCCGGGGAGATACTCTCAACGAAGACCGTGCGCAGAATCGAATGTCTCCTAACAAGCTCTTGCCAGGCCCGGGCAAGTCTTTTTGCGTCCACGAGTTGGCCCGCAGCTGGAGGATAAACTTCTGCGATGGTGGCGTATTCATAGTAAGCAGGATTGCGGGCTTGTGAGACCAAAAGGCCGGATTGGATGGGGGTACAAGGATATAGCTCCTCAAGATTTGTCAGAGTTGCGGGGCCCCGGATCGTGGGGAGAATTTCTTTAGCCAGGCGGTCCAGGTCTTTATAACCCATACTGAGAAGTGGGAAGTCGTTTAGAGACAGCAACGGTTCTGTGCCGGTGAAGGCCTCTTCGAGCAGGATCCGATACTGTTGGATCCATTCCTCGATCCTTGATTGGTGCTTGATATCCCGAGGGTACAAGAACTTGACCTCTAACTGCCCAATATCTACGGTGACCAGAATTTCGAACAGAGAGAATCGCTTCAAGTCTGGATAGAGACAGGGGAGGTCGGGAGCCGGGAGACGAGCGAACAAGGCGTCACCCTGTTCAAAGATGTGGTATCGACCAAGGTAGTTAAGAATGATTTCCATTGGGAAATGGCCACCGAAGCTTGCTTGGCCTTCGGGCGTCAGATACCGGCTGGCGAAGTAAGGCCAACCTCCTCGCAGCAGCTGGTGGCGGGCGTCCTTGACCCGACGAACGGTGTCCAGGACACTATTACCAACACTGGAAGCCACAGGCGCCATTGTGGTGAACCAGCCCACCGTTTGTGATATGTCGCATCGGTCCCCTAGAGCATCACGACCATGGCTCTCGTTGAACATGGCTGGGAGACCGCGGTCTGGAAATACACGGACAAATGCATGCAGGGCAGCTCCCAGCATGACTTCAATCGGCTCACTGCGAAGGAGGTCCTGCGACCGCGTAAGGAGGCATTCCGTCATCGCCTCGTCGAGAGTGAAGCCTTGCTGTTGGATCTGACCGTGCGAATTTGAGTCTCCGGTGACACCCCAGAATGAAAGATCAATAGGTGGAACATCAAAGGGAAGAGTCATCCTGGTGTTGCGGAAATTCTCCATACTGAAGCGACGCAAAGATTGCGACCACTTCGGGTAGGGAAATGGCTCAGGCCCTATAGTGATATGACCAGAAATGGCTTCCTCCAGCTCTCCCAGAATAACGCGCCAAGAGACATGGTCTATCACAAGGTGGTGTGCAGCGAGGAAGAAGCGCTGTCGCCTGTCAGGAAGATCGTCAAATAGTAGAGCGGTGACCAGGGGCCCGCTACTGATATTGATCGTTTTCAAGCGCTCGGCAATATTGTCTCGCATATGGTCGTCTGAAGGATTGTGAACGGTGGCGAGAGAGAAGGATGCTTGGACGTCGTCTGAGATTGACTGGACCCAGGCCCCCTCTATGCACTGGAATCGGGAACGGAGCATGGAATGTCGCTGAATCAAGCTTCTAAGTGCTGGTGATATGATCTCTGAAGCTACTGGCCGTCTTAGCGCTAGGTAGATACTTTGATAATAACATGCACTACCGTCTGGATCAGCATCAAAATAAAGGGTCTGAATTGGGGATGTATCAAATTCGAGAATTTCATTATCCGCATCGTGGGCAGTCTTCACCGCTGCCTTCTCCCTACGGGCAACAACAGGCGCAATACGGGCCACCGTGCGAAACTGCAGAATATGTTGAGCGGTCAAGTTTATATTGACCCTTCGGGCTCGAGAAGCTGTTTGTATGGCGGAAATTGAGTCTCCACCAAGATTGTAAAAAGGAACATCTCGACCTATCCTGTCCTTAGGAATACTGAGAACCTCACTCCATATCTGGGCCACGGCTGCCTCGGTTTGATCAGCAGGCTCAATTGTCTGCGGCTGCGACGTCCCGTTGAGAGCATATACACGTTGATATACTTCCTCATCATTGTCTTCCAGCCAGCCTTGGAGTAGCTTGCGATTTATCTTGCCGTTGGACAACAGTGGAATCCCTTGAACAGGAACGAAATAAATTTGGACACGTTCATCGCTCTCGGCTTCCAGATGATCTTGAAACTTCCGGTGGAGGGTCTGCATCTGCAAGACCTGGTCTGGCTTGCACAATTCGACTTTCATCGAATCTATTGAATACTGGACCCCGTAAGGAATGTAAAAAGCCACTAAATGTTCACTCAATGGGCCAGGTGAAGGTCGCACCACGGCGACGCGGCCAATATCTGGGAGTAGTAGAAGGTTTCGCTCCAGTGATCACGCGCTTGCAAGGTGATCTTTTTTGGAGATATATCGACTAGCTGGAGCTCTCTTTTTATGACATATTTTGTTCTCTTTCTTTTTCACATCTTGTTGGTACTCTGTAGTAAAATCATGTAATTCTCTGAGTTTACAGAGCTTAATAATCCTATTCTGCTTCCACTCTTTAGTAAAGGCAGGATCTTTATCACGTAACATGGTTGTTCTTTGTATAAGATTATTTTGAAAGACGTTTCTTAAGAAAGATAAGGTTAAAGGAGAAAAAATATGGGGAGACAGAGGAAGTACTTTATTTAACTTCAATAGAATTGTTATAGGCTGGCTTGTATATCTATTTATTTATTTATTTATCTACTTGCTTACTCTGCTTATCTATATTATTAATAATATTATCTAAATCATCTATACTTACCCTATGACTTAGCATTGCTTATCTATAAAGCAGTAATGTATAACAGGCTCACTTTCCAGTCGGCCGTGTTTAATTGTGGCTTGAGTACGGCTGAGCGGACGGGAAGCCCTATTTTCCACACCCTGTGGTCGTATGTACTTACTTTCAAGAAAGCAGGATCTATATGCAGTATATTATCAGTGAGAATAGTATAGATCTCATGCTGAGCTGGACAGTTTAATTATATGCCTGTAAACTATTCCATATTATGCCTGGAACATGATTCCGCCTTTCAGAGAATGTAATTTTTCCAGGAATAACATGTGAATTTCAGCATAATTGTTTCTAGCATGAAAATGATGGTAAAGAGTTCTAGTCACAATAGATAACTTCCCTGATTGTTCCCGGAAGCTTCGGCCATGTGACTTGGCCGCTGCACGCCTTCTGCCAGGGATCCATCCATGCATAATCTTTCATGGCAAAGTCGATATAAGTAGTTGGTTCAATAATATACAAAAAGATTAGCAATTTGAGGTCTCTGCTAACGGTTAGACTACTGATGCGATTGGTCTACGATGGTTACAGAAGATCTTTACACCATATACCAATAGCCGCAAGCGTGGTAGATATCGTCTATTGATTCTTGATGGCCATGGTAGCCATCTTACATCTCAATTTGACCGAATCTGTGCAGAAAGCAATGTTATATCCCTTTGTATGCCTGCCCATTCATCGCATATTCTACAACCTCTTAATGTTGGATGTTTTGCAGTGCTTAAGCGCGCGTACGGTCGCTTTATAAGTGATCTTGCCCATGTGGGATATAATCATATCGACAAACTTGGTTTCCTAGAAGACTACCAGCGTGCGCGATTAGAAGCTTTTTGGCTAGATAACATTCAAAATAGCTTTGTTGCTACTAGTCTAGTACCACCAATCGATGCAGAAAGAGTTCTTTCAAGACTGAATATCTCTCTACGAAGCCCTACACCATCAAGCAGCCGACCAAGCAGCAGATCTAGTCAATTCACACCAAAAGCACCTAGGACAGTGATCCAATTACAAAAGCAAGTATCCTTGCTTAAACAGTTACTAAAGCAACGGTCAAATAGTCCTCCAACACCATCAAAGATCTTACTAGATCAGATTATCAAGGTTAATATCTTGCCTTACATAACACTGCATTACTTGTTTAAGATAATGTGAATCTACGTGCAGTGAATGAGAAGAAGCGCTAGAAATGTAATTGGTTGTATTGGCAGATACCCCATCAGGGTGGTCCATCGGTTGAAGAAGGTCTACTACTAGCTGAGCAGCTAAATCAGGAGGAAGAAGCTGGTGGAGTAGTATCGCATGCACAGGACGAATTGCCTAATCAGGCAGATCCACCACGTACAAGGGCACCTCCTACATGTAGTGGGTGGGGGTAGTTGGGCATAAAATCAATAAATGTAAGAATCGTTAGTAATAGAAAATTTTATGGGTGATGATGGAAATAATCGATCTTGAAATTCTATTCTCTGGTGGGGTGCGCAGGTCAACCGGGAGTTAAATTATTGATATTTTGCTTACTAGTGTAGTGGGGAGTATCAGCCTGCCCACCAGTATAGGGACTTTCTAAGGAAGTTAGCCTAACTTAGAAGAAAGCTTATATATATTTATTTAGATAGCATTCTTAGTATTACATAGAGATTAGTTACACAAGTTACAGTCTATTCAAGAGAGTACTAGCAGATAATCCTAGTTAGAATATTGTTTACTCTTATTCTCTACTCTATTCAGCCTGCATGTACTAACCGTGCTGCCTTGGGCATCCTATCCTGTTACACTAGTAAGTGCTATCCGTTCACATTTCAAGTCCGCACATCCGTATTACTCCGAGTCGACAATGACATTGGTTCAAGTTCTTTGTGACGCTTCCTGCCTAATGTGAACAAAAAGTGTCATCTGTAGTATATATTGGTATTCAATATAGCCAAGCATATGCTGTGCGTTGAATGAACTTCTCTTGAAATACGATCAACATATGAATCGCATGGGAAATCTTGAAAGATTTAGGCGAACCAGAGAAAAAGGCGAAGTAGTATGTACCAGTGTATCTATTGATAAGGCAGCTTTGACAAGCTAGACTGTTTAAGCCCTTATGGTTAATCAGACTAAGAAGTGGGTAATTGTCGAGATTAGCTTGGCTGCATGGGGCGACTGAGCTGATATCGCAGCAGCGTTTTTACGCTGTCCCAACTCCAAATACCCTCTACATTTGCCTCAGCAAAAACAGAATACCATCTCGAATCCACAGGCTACGAATGAATGATATGTAATCTACGCGAAATAAGAAAACTATTGATAAGAAGTGCCCCAAGGGCTCGATAGATATTACAAGAAGTGCCCCAAGGGCTCGATAGATATTACATTTCTCACAAGAATTATGTAAATCTATTTCGACACGTGCCACGAATCACCAACTCGAAATCCCTCGGGGAATGGGTCGCTAGGATCTAGAACGACTTGTTGATAACTCGTAATCCAGGCACTTCCTTTAACAGTAGGGAGAATCGCGTTATACTCTCCGACCTTGGTTGTTCCCCGAATTGTGCCCATGAATTCAATATCAATAGGGCTGATATGACGGAAAGACTCGCCGACTAGAAGCTCATCTCGGGCATATAGCTGAGCCATCCGAGCGCATGTACCAGTTCCACAGGGACTTCGATCAAGGCGTCCGGGCGACACGACAGTAGCATTGCGTGCAGACTTTCCGGAGGTTTCACTCTGTAGTGGCTCTGTAAAAACCAAATTGGTCACGCCGTTGATTCCCGGATTTTCTGGATGAATAGGGTGGACCGTTCGTTGTACGGCACGTTTAACTCGTTCGCCATATTCGACAATTCGCTCTCCGTCGCTTGAATCGATGGTCAGACCAACTTGACTGATGTCAAGAATTGCATACATCATTCCACCCCAGACGATATCACACAGAACCTTGCCAATCCCAGGGACGTCAACTTCTAAATCAAGATGGAACACAAATGCAGGAACGTTGTCAAAAGCGACTGTCTTGCATTTCCCGGATTCGCATTCAGCACTGACGGTGACAAGGCCAGCTGCGGTATCTAAGTTGAGTGTTGTGATTGGTTCTTGCATTTTGACCATGCCTGTTTCCAGCAAAACGGTAGTTGTGCAAATTGTGTTCGAACCGGACATCGGAGGATACTCCTCGCTTTCCATAATGATAAAGCCTGCATCGGCCCGAGGGTCACAGGGAGGAAGGATGAGGTTCGCATTTTTGGAGGGACGACCGCGCGGCTCATTCAACATTATCTGTCGGATATCGTCTGCGTTCTTCCAGAAGTACATCATTTTGTCAAACATGGTTTTTCCCGGGACATCCAAAACGCCGCCGACAATAACATCGCCAACTTCCCCGGCGGCATGAACACCAACCACATTGATTGTTCTTTTGGCATGCCTTGCGAAGATCAATGGTCAAAACAAGACGAAGAGTGTTGAATCAAATTTCCTTTGCCCGTCTCAAACTGTCCAAGGGGAGATGGTTGAAATTTAAATCCAAGATATGGAAAAGGATTCTTCTAACTAACATTACCTACGACACCAACTCCTACTGCCTAATCGGGGCTCCCAAATGATCAGTTACCCCATGAGACTATCTAAATTCCCTATCGAGCAGTCTGTTCCGCGAAGCTGGAAAAGTGGAGCAAAAGGGAGGGAGCTGATATCGCCTCTCCAAAATGGGGAGTCAGTTCCGCAGTGGTTCGATATGGACTTAACAGACCAACGACCAAACAACATTGTAAATTGTACGATTGTCGGAGATAACACTTCACTCTCTCTCTCTCTCTTCCCCAGTCTCGCGTCATTCTCTAGCGCACATCCGCACTATTCCCGCCACGCCGTGGGTGTATGCATACTATGCCGTAGAAGACATGTGAAGTGCTAGCCACAGTAGATAACCCTTGTTTGTTCCCAGAAGCTTCGGCCATGTGACTTGACCGCCGCAAGCTTTCTGCCAGGGATCCATCCACCCCCCACCTTCCGCTAATTATCTCCGTCATCGCTTTCTTACCTTCCTTCACGGAGCTTCTTTTGTCTCCTTTCATTGAATGACTCGCAATTTTTAGCTCAGGAATCATGGGCAGTGTCCCATACTACCCCTACAATGAATTCCCCACCCCCCGGTCGGCCTGGTCGTCAGAGACGACCACGAGTTCCTGATGCGCTCCGCAAGAGAGCCGCGCGCGCGTATGCTTCCTCGTCGCAATCTAGTCACAAAAACAGTCATTGACTCTTAATTGAACTATCAGATGCCTGCCTTGTCGCCAACACAAGGAAAAATGTACTTTCACCGTCATAACCTCTTGCACTTGCCATTCCTCGTCCGTCGACTGATCAGGCCTCGGAGCTCTAGGCCATGGTGGCGGTCCGCCCTGCGCACGCTGCCAACAATACAACCGCACCTGCCACTTCGAAGATACTCGACCAAAACCGACAGGTATGTCCGCAGTACCGTCGCAGCGTGAGTTCCAAATGGAGCGCATTATACGTCACTTCCTAGGCGAGGACATCTCGCTTGATCCCGCTCGGCTAGAGGAGACCGCGGACTTGCTGGAAAGCGGACGGTATCGCGGGACTCCTCCAGAGACGCGAGGAGTGGAGAATGAAGACCAGGCACCGGAGAGCTATTCGTTGGAGCCATTGTCAACGAACACCATGCGTATGTCCAAGACACTGTTCATAAGGGCAGCCGTTAACTGGCCTCGCATCAGACTATTCAGGGGAATTGTCGCACTGGAATTTCTCCAAAATGATCCGCCGACGTCTACAGAGCTTGGGTACTCCTAAAGGACAGAAAGATGCATGCGCTCCTCAAACTGCATTCACCCATGGCACCGCTGACGGATCGTTCAGGGCCTAAATCCCTCGGATGGATTCTTTCGCGCTACTGGCCTGCAGTCGGCCAGTTCGTGTGTCGCCTCCGCCATAGAATACTTACCACCTCGTCCTGTTGCCGAATTCCTTACTAATACCTTCCTCGAGTATGCACAGACAAACTATTTCTATTTCCCCGAGTCAGTCTTTCGGGAGAAGATGGACTACTATTATTCTGTCGACAGGCCGCTTGTGATCGACGATGCGGGTTGGATTTGTACACTGTTAATGACGTTTGCGATTGGCACTCAATTTGCATACATGCAGACTTCTTCGACGGAGAAGCCTCCGTTTTCGGAAGACATTCCTGACGATCGCATTGGGATGGATCTATATCGGTTCTCGTGTCGTTTGATCCCTGATCTCATCACCACCGCCTCGCTTGAGACTGTGCAGGCCTTTCTATTACTGGGTGTGTATACGTTGCCGATTGATACCGCAGGATTGGCCTACACGTACTACGGCCTGGCCATCAAAATGGCCATCCAGAATGGAATGCACCGGAAGCATATTGCGCCGTCGGTTTCACCAGTGATAGTGGAATGGCGGAACCGTTTGTGGTGGACAGCGTATTCCCTTGAAAGGTGAGGCACTAGTCTACGTCGTGTGAACCGGGCTTACAGTCGCACAGCCGTATCAGCATCCTCCATGGCCGTCCTGTATCCGTGTCTCCCTCTGAAACAGACGCCGACATGCCTGCTGACCTGGTTGAGCTGCGCCAACCCAGCGGTATCTCGAATTTACCGAATGTCACGGCGGCCATCCACTTGACAAAGAAGCTTGGGAAAGTGGCCCAGATTATCTTACGACTGCGACGATGTCCGCGTAGTCATCAAGATGCCTATCTGCACCAACTATGCAACCTGAGGATGGACTTGAGCAGGTGGTGGGACTCGCTCCCGAAAACATTGCACTGCCGCGACCTTGATCCAGCCGGGCCCTTATTTCGGTCCAATGTGCACCTTGAGCTAAACTACGCTACCGCACTAATTTATATGGGCCGGCCTTTTATCTTTCTACAGAATGAGATCGCGGATAGCGGTGGATATGGATCACAAAAAGAGGGTGGTCGTGCCGAGTTAATCGAGACGTTCTCGCGAAACTGCACACGAGCAGCCATAAGAATCATTGACCTTTGTCAGCTGCTGCATGACTCGGTCGGACTCGCACGCGTGTCATACACAGAGTTCAGTTCGTGCCGCACCGCTTTGCTGGCCTTGATTGCGCAGCTCCTCAGCGGGTCATCAGAACCGATAGGTGGCGCCCTAACGCGAGGAATGGGCCTGATCCGCCAGATCTGTGTAGGGTTGGAGTCAGCTCGGTCGGAGATTGCAGTAATCGAAGCGCTTGAGCGTGCTCGGCAGCAGCTTGGTCTCGGCGAACGATCTTCCCTAGGAAATTCGTCTGAGACAGGCTATGACCAATTCCAGAAATGGGCCAAGCTCTGGCGCCTAGGTCCTTTGAACTCGGAAGCTTTTTCACCTCCAGCAGGTGTTGATTCGCCCAACAATCCAGGCAGTATTCCTTCATTTGACGGATTCTTCTCCTCGTTTCCCCAGGAACTTGATGCCTTTGCCGCGATTCCAGGCTCCGAGGATACTGCAGCGCCGCCTAGCATATGGCCTGTGCCGGATGCATTCCTCTCGTTTCCTGGAAATGTGGACGCCGAATTGGAGTTTGATAGGCCTCAATGAAGGTGGATCTAGTTCCAAGCTGTATATTACGATGTTACTATTACAAAAGACAAACTTTTCAATGGTTTAGATGATGTCACCGCGGACGTCGGAAAGTAGCACCTTTCAGTAGCCATCAATTGTTCTGGACCCACAATGGTTTGAAAAAACACGTTACTCGCTGGATATCCTGTCCCAGCGGAATTTTCGGCCCATAGAGAGGTGATGGACCTGTCTACCCGGTTCTTCAAATGCAGTAGTGGGAATCCAATCCTGTCCCGGGTACCGGTACCCGAGTATGCCATCTCGAGATTCCTAGTAATTGACCAACTTTAGTCAACATCTGCATTGCTCGTATTGTAAGTGGCCACGAGCGAAGACCGGAAAAAGACACCTGAAATTCTTGCACTAGAAAATTAGCTAGGCCCTAGCTTAATCTTGAAGTGAAATAAATTCCTTCGGTAACTAGGGACATGGGGCAAAAGAAGCTCCCATCTTCGGGATTGGCAACCGAACACACCTGCCCGGGAAAGACCCCGATTCCGGGACCCAGCAAGTCCGGCATGAGGTTCCGAAGAATGGAGAGTCATCGCTTGGGGGTATAAGTGCAAGCAGTCCGGGGAAACTAAAATCTGCTAAAATTCAATTGAAATTTTTGCATAGCCTTGGGACTTGCCATTGCATTCAATCATGAACTGGCTTTCAGCAAAATCTCATGCTCCCATAATCAAAATCACAATAAAAGATCCTAAACCAAGTTACACAACATGGGACCGGATCGAAGGCACAGTGACGGTGACTGCACCCAATGACACGAATGTTAACAATATTCAAATTACATTCGAAGGTAAGCAGCTCATCTAATCCTCTGCTATTTGCCCAAATCATCTAATCTAAATATGTGCTAGGTTCATCCCGAGTAGCTCTACCGCGGCCAATTACCGAACTCCGTGAACCTACAGCCTGCCACACATTCCTGAAGCTTCAACAACCCATTGAAACTCCTAACTCGCCTATTCATGTCCCAGAAAGAACTAACAGTTATCCATTCTGCTTCGTCATTCCCGAGGAATTGCCCCTCGGATCTTGCATGCACGAAAAGAGCAATGGATGTGTCGATTATCGGCATGCTAAGCTTCCACCAACACTGCGATTCGCCAACTTGTCTCAGGAACTGTGTCGGATTGCGTACTCTATTCGTGCTACGGTTTTCTACCATATAGAGAACGATGGTAATAACGAAAGAACAACTACATCTACAAGAGATCTACGGTTCGTCCCTGCGCATCAGTCGAACCACCTCCCGCGAAGCCTGCAGACCTTCATATCATTACAACACAACCCGAAGCAGGACGTGAAGAGCAAAGCATCGCTTTCTCCGTGCAGATTATCTGTGGAAGGGTCTTCCGCACAGCTGACGCAGGGGCGCTGTCTTGGGGATTCCTCGAATGGCTCCTTCGACGCATATCTTACCATACCACTTCGCTTCGAAGCAACGGGAGAAGCGAAGGCTCCTCGACTACGAAACCTGCATTGCACGCTCAAGGCTTCAACATTCTTGGCGACAAGGCCGAGTGTCAAACGGCTCAAGCGTCATGAGGCGCAATACCGACAAGCACATGTCGAGACTATCGCGATGCGATCAGAGGATATCTCATATACGCAATGGGTCAGGCATGAGCCAGCCCCAGGGGACTGTGTTACCGAACATCAGAGCGGCGACAAGCTATACTACACAACATCCATCCATCTCCCTATACGCATGCCTCGGAATGGACATCTCATACCATTTTCTACATGTCTTCTCTCACGAGCCTATCTTCTCGACATGCGTATGTCGTATTCTACGCCCGATTCGAATGGACGTCGTCGATCGTTGGAAGCTACATTACCAGTTAACATTGCGGCGTCTTATGAGACGTATATGGAGAAGATACCGCTTCGGAATACACTAGATGAACTATGTTTATCTGATTGGGGTGCCGAGCCACCACCATATCATGGCCATGAATTATCTCGCTCCAGCGATGTTGTGTCCTTGAGAAAGGGACAACATACCGGGGTTTACCACCATCTGGTGACTTCCTGACAGCAGACGCGAGACCAAGTATTAGTTTTCCAATGAAATGAACCTACCAAGTATACCAAAAGGATATATTCTTCTGCTTCAGGTGGATTATAAATTGTCCCACCAAACCCTTTCATAAATATAGACTCTTCACTACTCCATATTCTTGATGAAATGCCCGATGCGCGTATTTTTACAATGCTAATGAGGCATGGGAGTTAATTTCACTACCGACCTCGTTGGAGCAGTCATAATCCAGGATTCACCCATGGGGCCGTAATAAACTCATTGTAGAGAGTTTCCCACATGAGTTCCGAGATGCTTCATAATTTGCCGAGGAAAGAAATGCTTTCTGCTATATTCACGCCGTCTACTCTTGTCTCTATAAACCTCGTCTTCTCCCTCCCTTCTTCCTCTTTCTCTCTAACTTCTCCAATTATCCTTGCCTACCACCATGACCTCGCAAAGTTCCACTATAAAGCTCCTCTAGAGCGATTCAACAATACATATTCGAAGTAGTACTCATTAATGTACATAAAGGTACGTCAAGCTGATAGTATCATTCAATATATATATATACAGGCAATATCTACTCTTTCGGACTGTGGTTGTGGGTAGATAAGTTATATGGTAATATAACTTATATTAGGACCTACCTAGAGGCCAACCAGTTATTGCTCCTTGAACAATTTGCCCAGGGGCAAAATCCCATATGCGCAAGACTTACCGACGAAAAATGATCTGGGAATCTAGTCAGAGACACAAGCATAGCATAAGCCATTCAGTATCTCAATGCGCCAATCTGAATACTTATACATCGAACGGCAAATAAAAGGACTAGTGGGTCCCAAAGGCAATCACCTTATAGAGAAGGTTGGTCGGCACTAACACGGAACAATGCGCAGACTAGCTCATATGTCGTTTGCATCACGACTTGAAACCTTTCATAGAAGAGTATACCAAAGACGAGACGTGGTCACCGAAATTGCCAAGTATGCTGAGTAGGCAGATAAGGGATTCGGTCTTTATTTTGATTACACTAATCAAGACTCTGACTGCTAGCCCCCTTCCACGAAGACAGGGATAGCATATTATTTCGGGCAGAGATATGTAAAAATGGGATCCCTTGCAAAGATCTTCGATCTTTAAGGTGTCTTCAAAGGGTATTTGGTGGATAACGAAGTTGGTGTTCATTGTCATCAAAACATCATGACAAATGCCGAGAACTAAAATTAAGAATCCAAACTGCAGCATAAGAGTCCGGCGTAATGGGTAGCTAAGTCAGATAGTGTGTCGATTAAGTGGATCCCCAATGCGGGTAACTGTACCCAGAATATCCGTCGCGGTGGCGTAGCAAAGGGACCACAAAACCAAAAAATGGACTCGCCGGGAATCGAACCCGGGACCTCTCCAATGCGAATGGAGCGTCATACCCCTAAACCACAAGCCCAATTTTATGATAAGATGCTTTAGACTCTGCTATATGACTCACTCAAGTAACTCTTACCTTCTTTGTTAATTAACTCCCCGCGCTTATTTTCATGGCTACCAGCTCGATGAAGCCCAATTAACAATGCCCCGATGTCGTATTACTAGCAAGAATACAAACGGCATTGCAACTTCCTAATCTAATGATGTTTCTAGTCAAGACTAATTAGATTACATAGATCTCTGAAATTTGCACATTGATGTAAATGTACTGCCCGTCGGAAGATTCCGTCTTCCTAAGATGCCCACGGATCCTGCCTACTCAACATCGGGAAACCCCTAGAAACAACCACATAACTATCTAGGTATTACGTGTATACGTCTATGCATGAGTCTGGTCTTCTTATCGCTTTATAGAATAGTGATTAATTCATTTTATGAAAATTTACTAATGTTAAGTGCTTGGCTCACTTCACTACTTAAGTAGTAAATATATATCCGTTAATTGAACAAGTAACCACCCGCGATTTACAAGTTCGCTCAGCATGATCTTCAGCAAGATATTGATGGTGATCGACTCAATGTGTGAATTCGGAATACAGAACTTCACCTTTGCACCCTGAAAGCCGAAGTGATAGGAACCATGAATGTGAAATTAACGTATGGAGCGTCACTATAGGCAGACGGCGTGAAATTCATCTGGCCCAATGTCTTTGCAACCCCTATATAAAAGGGAGCTTTTGTCCCACTGTTTCGTCTTTCATATCCATCTGAAGCCATACCATCCAACCTCCATAGATCGGAAGATGGTCATACTCTGACTTCCTAGATCGAGCCTTGAGATACATTTCTGAAGCTTCATCATGGTGTATCGACTTCGAGTCTTAATCAGTTTGCGATCACACACTCCTATGTCTATATAACGCTAACAGTCAAAACTTCTGTAGAAATGTTGGAAACAGCGAAAAATTTTACCAACTTTCCTGAATGATACGCCAAACCCTATGACTACGAAGAACATGGTCCCGACCTATCAGCTTCCAGCGATGAGGATAAAGAAAAAGCTTACCCAAGAGGCAAGCCTTAGTCTCCAGATGAGGAGCCTTCCCACATACCGACTCTGAACTCAGGGTAGTATTATATTTTATGATTGATGCCTCAGACTATATTATCATTGAGCTTTGGCTACAAAGTGTGCGATGATATGCGAGGCACGCACAGATGGTCATACTTTCTTGGCTGATAGTCGAGCGACGAAGGCCATGCGTCGCGGTGTATGAACTATTATCCATTTCAACTGACAAAACATACATCCACCAAGCGATCGAGTACAGGGCTCACTTTGGACAGGGTGAGAAGTGCACAGACTATGGGGTTGTTTATGGGAACCGCCAGATGCTAGACATCGATTACGACGAATCTTTCACGCCCGTGGCCAGCAATTCGCACCAGAGATGTTCATGGCCAACGTAACAATAAAGAATCATCGCTAGGAAGAGTGAAATATCGTTTATACCTAGCTGAGAGCTCAATTTAGAAGGCAAAAGCGCCTATGTGAACTAGCCTACTGGGTATCACGAACGACCACCAGCGCTAATCTACCTACTGAAGGTGGCCCTATACGGAATCCGTCAGGCGGCCCACCTCTGGCACCCCATATTTGATGAAAAGCAGCAAGAGATCGGATTTATACATTTGCCTGAAGAGGGGGCGGTTGTGCTCAGCATGCAAGAGAACAACTGAATCTGACAGCTACATATATCACTGCGACATGCCGTTGTCATGTGAAGAGCCAGACAATTTCGAAATGTGAAACTCATTGGCTAAGCGTTCCCGACCATATGACTAGATGACTCAACAGATCAGAGCATTGGATATACAACCCTGCATCCGAATCACAGATATTGCATGAACGGAAAGGCACAACGGATTGGGCTGTTGCGGAACGTCTTTACAAAACAAATATGTATGCCGCTGTCGGCCTTCTGGACTACCACTATACTACAGGTTCAACTAGTGGATTGAGTGCTTTTCATCTGGTATATTACTCACCGACTCGTGTGTCAAATATAGATGACATCAATCATAGCCAGAATCCCGTAAAAAGCTTTTTACACACGAACCAGAGAGCACCATCATACCAAGGTCTCACTCAACGATGGCGATGGGAATGCAATAGAACTCGACACAGGCGACCTTGAATGGCTGATGCGAGGCGCCCCCAAGATGCGAGCAATTTTGCCAATTATTAGAGACCAGGTGTTTCTGAAGCAGGAGAAATCACTCGTCTGGACTTATTTTCCCGATGAGGAGGTCTGCGTTTCTGCCGTTCTGACAGAGACCGGTATCGATCATGCTGTCATTCATCCCGGGTTGACCGCCAGAGAGAGATCGATCATTGTGAAGTGGTTTATTCGAGACCTCGACAAGTGCATGGTATTGGTGATGAGTTACTTGGTCAGTTCAGCCGGTCTGAACCTGCAGACTCTGTGCCATAATCTCCAATTCGAAAAGACGGCATCCTGGCAACCACACGAATACAAACATAATGATGCGGGCATGAGGCTACTCCGGTACGCTTAGTACCACTGCAGTGATTACACTAATGATGAGGCTTCTATTGTTTTCATTTTCATTGGATGAAGTTTGCTACTATCTGTCTTCTCGTATAGTGACTATCTTGGATTTTCTCAACGTCGTATGTAAAGTCTGACAGCAAGCATACTAAATATTGAAACTATATACATTGGTGTCTTGATTCTTCGAAACAGTACAAAACTATATACAATGCAAGCTCAGGGTGGTGTCCCAATATGTCCACAATACATGTATCTTGCTAAAATATTTACGCGTGAAATGAAGCTAAGTAGAGTCATAAGATAGTCCACTTGACCAGAGGAGTTACGCCAGAATGACAGGACATTGATACCATGTCAACCCAGTTAACATGGATGAATGCTCGTAGCCACTGGTAATGGGCAATCTGCGTCTCATCTCCCTATCCCTTCGCCACTGTTCTCGCAGGAAATCAGCACTTTTTGAGAAGACGGCTGACTTCCACTCTTCGTGTATATTGTTCAGCTTTGCAACGATGATACGTTGATGTGCAGAATTTCTTGCGGACAGGCCCGCAACAACTAGTGGCCAGCACAGTATGTTTTGCGAAGGCGAGTGCGGAGGAAGGTGCTGTAAGTTGTTTACGAACTCATCCACCAGAGAGTGAACTATGTCTTTGTCGTCTGACCCATGTGGTGGAAAGAGTGCCCTGATGTGGATGCGGCATGCCAAACTGTACAGGTTCGATGTAATGACATCATTGAGATGCTCCTGGTCCATAGTATTATCATGGGTGAGCTGGCTTTGATAGGCGATTAATTCTTGGTCCAACAGCAAAAGTTCCTGTCGTGCGGAAAGCACGTCGGCAGATTTGCTAGACTGCAAGTTATGGGACAGACGGGATATGCGGTAAATGGCGATGAACAAAGACTGTGAGGTTCCCATGATATGGCCGTGCTGAATTAGGCGGATGATTGACGGGGAGGCGAAGATAGGATCCGCTTGTGCGATCAATAATTTGGAACCCAAAGAGAAACGAGCTAAAGCAAAAAAGTAGCAAAACATCTCAAATAGATATCCTCTTAACTCAGTGTTCATGTTGCCGCAGTGAATGCGATTTTGCAGCAGAAAAGCCGCTGCATTGAGATGCGGAAGGATTCTCTCGCAACTCGTAAAATTTTGAGTCTAAGTCTGTTAGTATACTTGCTCAGAAATAACGCGCTGCATTGCAATTCGCATACCTCATGTAGACATAGCAACAGGACGGACAGCGGAGTGTAGTCTAGGTTCATGTTAGCGAAATATGGAATGGATGCTTGGGGATGATTTGTACCAGAAAGAAAACCGCCAGATAGCGAAGCGAGGGCCATTTCGCTCTCAATTGCTCCTCTGAGGCTAGACACAGCTTGACCATAGTATTCGGCGGCGGCATGCTGTAATTGTGGGTGGTTACGGTAGTATTTCAGCAAATCCGCCGCAGCTATTGCAAGGACGCAACTGCGCACAACATGACTCTTTGATAGAGCAGGAGAAAGCCACTTCAAGTAGTCTGTCCTTCGAGATCCAGTTCTAGTTGATAACCATCTCGGGCTAGCGTTGAGGAAGTGACGGAGCAAGCGGGAGACTATGTCGGGCGTTAGGACTGAGAACACGTTCACCATTCCTTGTGCCTGGTCAGGGAGTAATTTCTCGGCCAATCCCGCCCTTGTCTTCCGGCGTCTGGGCCATACAATCGAGTCAGCAGATTCCCACTGGCATTCAAGGCGGTTACGCTGACAGCCAGTGCAGGAAGGGCGACGCTCATCGCATCTCTTTTTCCGCCGCCGGCATGTCAGACATCCCGATCGAGATCTCACGGGAGGTTTTATACAACAATCGGTAGTTTTCATAAGAAGCGTATCTCGCGTCATAATATCAGCAAGGGTTGTTCGGGCAAGTAATGGTAGCGGGGAGCCATCATATCATACACTTCAACATCATCAGAGTTTGGAGTTTTGACCTGCGGGGTTGGCTTACGACTTCGCCGAACAGGCACATGACCTTAACGTTATTCTACTCTTTCAGGTAACGCCACCCGAGTCGGTCGTCCATGTAATATCAGTTTGAAGATATTCTATTTAGATTATTTTGACTACCAGAGATTGGCACAGCCTTATATAGAGCCTACAAATCAAATAGAAGATAAATTGTATTATCGGTAATTTTCGGAAATTTCTAGTCTGCGTTGAACAAAAATTAGATAGAGTAAAATGTTCAGCCTATTGTGTAGGTCTCAATAATAACGAAAGAAGATCTATGGATTCATGATGAATCTTATCTGGTATAAATCCCAGGTAGATTATGAGATGATTACTTCGACCATCACGGAGATATTTTAATGTGAGAAAAGCTTCTTTCTCTCTAGATTTCTAACATGGCGGGCGGCTCGGGCGGAAAGTCCGTTATCTGATGATTGAAATTTTGCATCGGAATTAACGTTCAACCTAACCAGATCCGGCTTGTAATAGCCGCGTTGGCAATTAAACTAACCAAATCAGGACAACTCTGTATACCCCGGCAATTACTTTTGCCGCCCGTGCTGGACCCTGACGTGCTCTGTGGTAACAGGCATGCGCATGCAGCGGCTGCAGAAAATGGTGTAATAATGTCAGTCTGGAGCTGCAAAGACAAATTGGTGAGGTTGAGTGAAACACTGCTACTAACTAGGCTTCTGCGACGCGTGACACTGCTGAAACCGTTACTTTCATGGGAGCTGATATTATAACTACGTGGTCTTATGCGGTGTTATCATGAGCCTTCTACTTCGTGACCTAGTACTTGAATAAATCACAAGATGTTATGTACAAGCAGCAAAGTTTGATTTCATTTCGAGTTGAATAAATTACATACACCCGTTGTAGAGTATACAAAGAAGTAAGAAGCATACTAATAATGCCACTATATCTATCTTTCAGGGGCCGCAGATAAGTGATCGCAATCAGCGATCAGCGCAAGCCTTTCTGAGACACACCCACCCCTCTGGCTAATTCATGTTCCGCTCCTAATACAAAGGAAGCTTGTAGGCGTCGAAATCGTAGATCCAAGCATCATTCGAGGCTTGGTCGAATATGCAATCCATGGTAGTCCCGTTGTTGGACCAGAGAGGGCGAAGGGGCCACGCGCAGATCTGCTGGTGCTCGCCTTCATTGTCTCCCTGGAGCACGGTCGCGTTCACCGTCACAGGAATCACACCGTTCTCCACCCAGTCGATCATGACGGCCATATTGGTTTGCGGGAAAGGTCCATTCGGTTGTTCGCTGTTTGTGCCGCAATGAGCCATACCGTGGACCAGGTACAGTCGGTAGAACTCGCCTAAGGCGGCAGCACTTGTGTTGAGAGACTCGTTGGGGAACATAATCTTGCGCACAGCCTCATAGTAGTGGACAGACGAGGCAGTGGGCACACTGGGGTCCTGCTCACCGTGGAAGTGCAGAATCCTACCACCGGATTGCTGAAGGACATTGAGATCGGGGTTGTGAGTCACCAGGGTGTCCTCGTACATTGTCCATCCCATTTGCATCCAGCCGCGGATGGTGTCATAAGTAACATTGTCGAGAGTAGATAGCGTGTCCGCTTCCTGCAGGTTCACAAACTTCGCCACAAACTCGCCCCCGTTACCGTCAATACTGAGGCCCTAGGTGCCGGTTTCTGAGTCGTAGGTGGTTTCAGCATCGTCAAAGTCCGCACCGGGTTTGAAGTTCAAGTAGGCCTGACGACCCTGGGTGTCCTTCAAACCGGCGAGCAGTGTCTGAACCAATTCGACGGCTTCTTTGGTGACGGTACCGCTCTGCTCCGGGGTCGAGCTTATGGACTGCCGTTTACTAAACCCGAGACCAAGACTGCTGCCACCGGAGCTGGCCGCGCAGTAGTAGGGAGCACCGATCAAGGAGGTGTGGTTGAAATGCAGCTTGCACAGGTCGGAGCGGGCGAAAACTCCGTCTGCGCGGCCATCCAGCGGATCGCAAGCAGCGATGGTGGCGTTGGCAATCAGCTTCAACTCGCACGGAGGCGGGTAGTAATCCATGGTCTGTTCAACGACGTTGGGCATCAGGTGGTTGATTTGCTGATGGGCGAAGCGGAAAGCCGGCGCACCAACAATAATTCCGTCGTAATCATAGCCATACCGCTGGGCCTGAGACCAGCCCTCACGGCCACCATCAGAGCATGACTGATAGCAGGTATAGACCTTGTCATTTCCGGTGTTATACACATTGCGGGCGAGTTGACGGCCAATTTCCATCATCTTATGGATACCTTGGTAGCCGAACATGAAGTGTTTTGCCAGTTGACGGTGCCATTGGCAAGAAGAAAGATGTCGTCAAATGATTGACCATTGAACCCACTGTTGGTGAGGCCGGCGACCGCTCCATACATGAGACCACTGGGCAAGGATCCAGAGGTACTGGAACTCTCGTTAATCTCGTATGCCTCGCCACCGGTGGTAAGGAACCGATTCTTGAAATTAGCCGGATTAAAGTTGGAGCTGCTGATGGACACATTCGAATGGATGGTAGTCGAGACAGGGCTGGAAACCATGTAGATGCCCTGGAAGGAACCATGTAGATGCCCTGGAAGGAACCATGTAGATGCCCTGGAAGGAACCATGTAGATGCCCTGGAAGGTGCCATCTGCAGGCAACGCAGCCTTGATGTAGGCATCGTTGCAAATATCAGAGAGGCTCGCAGCATGAGCAGCCCCTACTGGCGCAGCTAAGGGGAGAATATTTCCCATATTGAAAAGGATAGAATGAATGCGGAAAGATTTCGAATGAATGTAGAAGAATGAATGTGGTTCTGGACAGGCTCATCGGATACAGCGGGTGGCTTTCGCTTCTAAGCTGCGAATTTCAGAAACCCTTGGAAAATTGAAAAAATTGGACGCGTATGCATGAATACTAGTAAGTTGCAAACGCGTAGGAGATGACACATGCAGTTGCAGATTAAACGGTCGAGCCTTCTCGCATCACCAAGAAAAATCACGCTATGGTATGCTTCACGGGACTGTAATTGCCAGGGACTTCGTTATTGCAATTAAGATTCCCGGGCCGCGAGCCACAGACCCACTGAGTGACGACTCCCCGGAGGTCGGAGGGCCAATTTGAGTTCATAACCGATCCTTACAACTGTGTGCAGACCTCATTACTGGATGACTCAATGAAGTCTGCAGATTACATACTTTTAGCAGATGCGAAACGATCATTAGTGGCATCTACTGGTCGTTTACAGTGATGTATAGCAGGAACCACCGCTTGCTTGCAAAGTAATGTCTTGCAGTGATTGAGAAACTGCAAAGAAATAAAATATCTTGCCATACTAGTAGGCTGGAAGGGTCAGAGGCCCACTGATAACACTAACGCCTTTTACGCATTTATTCACAGTAACTAGCGCCGCGTAAGCTCCCGCCTTTCCATACATCCCCGTACTTTGCCCTAGTCCAAGGCCAATCTCCGTTCCTGCAGCAGATACGGGGCAGCGGGGCGGGATCGTCCGTCTCACCCAAGGTCTGAATATTCTCCTCAGCCTTGGATACGGACAGTCCGGTTCAATATTATTCCCCTGGTAAAGTGCATACTTCAGCACGAGCTGCACGGAGATAGCTCCGTGAAGAAGGCTTCAATGGCTCAGAACTCAGAGCAAGCCGACGGCCGAGAGGGTCAGGCGAAAGGACTATAAGAGCCAAGTGGGGGCCGGTTTATTCTTCGATCACACAGCTTAACTTTCTTCCAATTCACTTTGTCAGTACTGCCTCATTGCGGTCTCTACACAATGCTCCGCAATACTCTCCCCACGCTTTTGGGCCTGGCATCCGTTTCTTCCGCTGCGCTTTACGAAACAAAGATTGAGACCAAATATGGCTCGGTCCAGGGTTATCCGGCTTTCAACAGCAGCAATACCGGTAACCTGACGCACTGGAAAGACATCACTGTGTGGAAGGGCATTCCGTTTGCTGCGACCACCGGAGGTGCCAATCGTTGGAAAGCACCGCAGCCCGCAGGTCCATGGAACGGAACGCTTGACGCGCGCAACTGGGGCCCTGTCTGCCCTTCTGCTACGACCGGAGACAACAGTTACACCATTAACGAGGATTGTCTCATTTTGAACATTTGGAGTCCGGCCAACTCTACCGACGCCAAGCTGCCTGTGGTCATGTGGAGTTATCCCGCCGAGTCAACTGCGGCAGATCCTCTCTTCGACGGCGGTGGTATGGCTGACAAGGGGATTGTCTTTGTCAATTACAACTACCGGACTGGGCCTTTCGGATGGCTTGCCCACTCTGAGCTCTCAGAAGAATTTGAGAAGGTGACTGGGTCCAACAGCTCAGGCAACTGGGGAATGCTAGATCAGTTCGCTGCTTTGAAATGGATTCATGCCAATATTGAGGCCTTTGGTGGTGATCCGAACCAGATTACAGTCCAAGGTCAATCGGCAGGCTCTGCAGCCACCCAGCATATACTATACAGCAATTTGACCAAGGGGCTGATTGTTGGTGCCATCATTGAGAGTGGTGTCCGTGACCCCCATGACCCCCTTTGCACCAGCCTTGCCGAAGCTTATACCACGCTGGATGATGCGCTGGATGATGGCAATACCTACCTCTCAAACCTGGGAGTGTCCAGTATTGCTGAAGCCCGTAACCTCAGTATGGAGGCATTGATTGACGGAGCGACTGGGTCCACTCGCGAAGATACCATCATGTTCGAGGCAGTCCTTGATTATTACGCCATGCCGGATACCTACCTCAACATCCTGAAGAAGGGCCTTGCTCACGACGTCCCCGTCATCACCGGTAACAACAAGGACGAGAATGGCGCTACCTACGGCCTCGATATCTCACTCGCGGAATACCTTGAGGATCTCAACGAAACCTACAGTGGGGAGTGGGTTGAGCGGTTCTTTGATCTCTATCCGGCCAATGACTCGACGACCGCTTCAGGCGCATACAATTCTATGTTCACCGACCGCTCCAAGGTGGGCACCTGGCTCTGGACCCAGATGTGGTACACCAAGAAGAGCAGCCCGGTTTGGAACTACTTCTGGGACCACGCTCCCCCTGGCCAGAGCTCTGGCGCTTATCACGAGTCGGAAATCAACTATGTATTGAACAATCTTTATGCCACCGACAAACCCTGGACTGCCGAGGATTATGCCATCGCCAAGAATATGAACGACTACTGGGCCAGCTTTATCAAGACCAGAAACCCCAATACTCAAGCCGAAGGTGCAACCGAGTGGCCCGCAGTGAACACCTCCAAGCTGGTGCAGCATGTCGGCGATGGATGGGGTCAGGTCCCAATTGCCTGGAGCAAGAAGGTCAAGCTTTTTGAGGACTGGGTTGCCACCCTTGTGGCATACTAAGGTTTGAGAACAATGTCAATGCGCGTGTTAGGAGGTCATCACCTGGGACCATAGGGTTGACGCATTCGCGCCGATGTGACCTTGGGACAGTCTTCATCAATTACCAATCCGTTTTTATGGCTTTGCATCTCTTCTTTTCCAGTCGTCGATGTATGCGACATTTATTATATTATTTCTGATTCTATTTCTCGCCATCGCTTTTATTGTAATTATTACTAGTCCATACACCCCAGGTACTTCGTTGATCACCAGGCTCAGTATAACCACCAGTAACACCCCTTGAAAGATAACCTTCCTGAACGAAAAGGGAGTGGAAACAAATATATGCCGATCACTCAGATAATCCTCACACAAATCCGGCTAGATACTACCAAGAAACCCAATCCTGCATCCTTTTATTCCACAGGCTCCACCTGCTTAACAACCCGAGCCGGGGATCCCACAGCAACACTAAAAGGAGGAATATGTTTCGTGACAACAGCCCCAGCTCCAATCGTACTACCTTTACCGATATGAACCCCCGCCAAGATCGAAGCACCAGCCCCAATCCAGCAGTCGTCACCGATAACTACCTCTTTCGCAAATTCAACTCCATTCCTCCGGGACTCAACACTGGTCTCATGCGTCGCAGCCAAAATGCTCACATTAGGTCCGAAGGCCACACGATCGCCGATGATGATTAGGGAGCAGTCGAGGATTGTGGTGCTTCAAGGGTCAGCAAATAAGGAGAGTAACGGGGTCGAGACAGCATACTTGAAATTAGCGTAAAACCCATCACCAATCTTGGTATTGCACCCGTAATCGACCATCAGCGGTGGCTCAATAAAGGTGCCTTTGCCAACTTGCCCCAGAAGTTGCCTTAGCAGATCCTCGCGCTGTTGTGTTAGATCATCGAATGATATGCCATCAGGAATGGGTGCATTGTATTTCGACATTAGCTTGCGGGCTCGGTAACGGCTTTGCATGAGTTCTGGAGCGAGGGGGTCGTATCTAAATTTGTGAATTAGATCCTGGGTATTGTGTTTGCAGGTATTGTTGCTCGAGGCTTACAGCATCCCTGATATCATACGTTCGTATTGCTCGCACCAAGGTGTATTTGCTAGGGACTTGGCTGTTTCGATTAGACCAAGGTTCTTTTCTGTGGAAGGTTCCATCATAGTGGTAGCTGAATTTGTAGAATAACAGTTGAATAACTGCTTCTGATGGTGCGTATGGACAGGGTTTAGTCGATGGGATCTAAGCCTGGTCGTTGTGTGACTTATAGGACTGGCGATGAGGGGATGTGGCGTTGATATGATGTGTTGTCTCACGTGTAGATATTTGATGCAGTATGACAAGATATTGATGTACCCGAAGGGTAATTAGCTTGATATATTACTGATAAGACTAGAACTGAACAGGTGATTATAGGAATGTGCCCTCAAATAAATGAGGATAAAGAATTTGCCTAGTTCGGACAAGAAGGATGGCATCGCTTGGTGTTACCGTCGTTGAGTCAATTCATTACAGATTTCTATTATTGTTATTGTACCCACTGATGGCCTTGTAGCAAGATAAGAACATCTGCTCGTCAGGCGTTGATCCTTTGCCATATACTGGGAGCGCGGCTATTAAGTTGCCAAAGAGGACTAGCGTGAAAATGTAATTTGTGGGCCTGCCAAAGTGGATAGACCATTAACACAACAGGAGATCTCGACACAACGTAACACTTTAGCAGTGATACCATGTAACATGCTAATTACAACACCCAAGAATTCCCTCAAAGGCTCGGAGTGTGATGGATCTCTTGATTGCCACGGGCGGGGCAGTCTGGAGCGTTGATGAGACCCAGCGTGTGACGTGGATGTCGGAAGGAACCGTCCATTCGATTGCAGACGTTGTCCAATTCATGACAACAAGCCAGCTGTCTTTTCCGTCTGCACTAGTCCTCAAGTACGCGAAGACCTTTTCGTTATGATAGTCCAGATCTTCAAAGCCGCCGTAAACGAACGCATCCTTGTATAGCTTTCGATGCTGTACCGCCTGCTGCCAGTACTGCCAAACGGATAGTTCACCTTTGCTCTGCCAGGGAAAAGACATCTGTGTCTCCACATTAACAGTCTTATAATCATCATTTACTCTCATCCAAGGTGTTGCATCAGGGACTGTGAAGCCTGCATGCGGGGCAGCACTCCATTGCATCGGGGTGCGGGCGTGGTCTCTCGCCTTTTTCTGCAAGAGCGTTCTAGCCTTAGCCAGGCCTTCGGTCCCAACAGGGTGGAGCTCTTTGGATTTGTTCCAGAAGTTTATCGACTCAACATCCTTGTACTCGGTGTCTGGATCCCACTCGAGGGGGAAATTGCGCATACCAATCTCCTGGCCCTGATAAAGGAAAATGGTACCACCTAGCGTTGTCTCCAGAAGCGCTAGGAGCTTGGCTCCACGCTCTCTGAACTCATCTGAATCATTGGTGTAGCGGGACACAGACCGCGCCTGATCGTGGCATTCCAGGAAGATGGCGTTCCAGCCGTCCCACTGTTTCATTCGTTTCTGCCACCCGGACAAAATGGCTCTCAGCTCGGTCAACTTCCAGTCGCGCAAGCTCCACTTGGAATCGCCCTTGGTTTTTATATCTTCAATTTCCATGTGATCGAAGTTGAACGCCATATTAAGCTCTTTTGCTGTGGAGCCAACCGTCTTGATGATTTCCTCGATGTCGGTGACGTAAGGCGTTTCTCCCACAGTGATGGTGTCGTACTTGGATAATACATTGTCGTACATACCGTGCATAAATTCGTGGAAGCGCGGCCCGTTTGTGTAGAACTGCTCGCCAGGCTGGTATTTGGAGGAAGGATCAATGATTGGGGCATCTGGGAAAGACTGGTCCTTGGAAATAAGATTGATGACATCCATGCGGAACCCGCAAACCCCACGACGCAGCCAAAACTCCAAGACCTGTATTACCGATCAGCAACACCATCCATCCAGACAACTCAGGCGCCCAAGGTTCCAACTCACATCATACACCGCTGCAATAACTTCTGGATTCTCCCAATTGAGCTCGACTTGCGCCGATGTATGCAAAGTCAGGTAAAACTCCTGAGTTTCCTCATGCCAAGTCCAAGCACTGAGTGCATCGCCTAGAATTTGCGCCCAGTTGTTCGGAGGGACTGGGTTCCCGTCATCGTCGAATCCCTTGGCCGGCCTCCAAATATACCAATCACGTTTAGGGGAATCTTTGGAGCTCGCAGACTCGACAAACCAAGAGTGCTGATCGGACGTATGGTTGACCACGAGGTCCATCATGAGTTTCATGTCATGATCCCCCAATGACCTTATCAACAGGTCAATGTCCGATAAGCTGCCATACCGCGGATCGATGGATTTGTAGTCTGCGATATCGTAGCCCATGTCGATTTGTGGGGACGTATAGACTTGATGAAAATATGTCAGGCATTCGTTCTTATATTGCGGCACTCATGACCGGATTGATTCGACTCACTAGGACTAAGCCATACAATATCGACACCCAAACTTTTTAGATAAGGAACTTTTTCAATGATACCAGTCACGTCACCCCATCCATTGGTTTTGCTTGTATGTGTACCACAATTGAAACTTGCGGGATACACTTGATACACCACCGCCTCTTTCCACCATTTTGGGGTTGAGTAATGAGATTTGGGGCACATGGTACACATAAAAGTTTGGTTGAAAGAGAAACCGGGAATCTTGCTCAGGGGAACGCTTGGTAAGACTGAAGGAGACCAGAAAGTTTGGAAGAGAAAGCCATGATTGCGGGGTTGGGGGAACGTACTTATATGGTGCGTCGGCCATATTATGTCACATCAGAAGCACCTTGCCATGCAAGGCAGTGTGCTGTCGATGGCAGGGTTCAGCGCCATTGGGCAAATTTGGGGCATGGTGCCTGGACAATCATTGCCGACTTTACTGCATACCAAAGAGAGTTGAATACATTTGTGTTTGCATTCCTACACAAGATATTCCCCATAAAACCACTCGAATTTTCGCCACTGGGTGGGCATAGGTAGCTGATAGCGGTCGGGTTAGTTTCCTGTCGGGGAAATACGCCAGAACGTGTGGATTATATGATCAAGCAAGAGTTGAATTCCTAAACACACTAATTCAGACTAAACTAACAGTTATTACCTTCGGCATCGAGATTAAGAAAGGAAAACCTCAAGGCAACCTTCTTGTCAGTCCATCTGCATCAAGTAGCCTGACAAGACCGAGCAAGACCCTCAATGCCTCCTTCCGTCGACGGCGATTGCAGAGATTGTAAAGCTCCGAGTGATATAGATGGAGGCGGCTGTCTGGGCGCTTTTCATGCAAGAGAGCGTCTAAGTATTCGCGGGGTGGGTCTGCCATAGTAAGCTGAAGATTTGTGCTATCCATAAAGATAACAAAGGCTCTACGAGACAGATTCTTTTGGTATGCCACCGTCTTTTGCAGTAACAACTGTGCTACTTGGCCTTTGAAATTGTAGTCACCGTCCTTGGCAACCTGTCAAGCCGTGTCAGTGCATGTCGCACGCTTAGGACGGAGCGAGACTGACCGAAAATACTACCAATGGAGAATGTGGCATAGAACAATCGAGTAGCACCCCTTCACACTCGACTTCACCTCGGATACCTGTGACTTCAAAGCTCATGGTATGGATACGTGAAGATTGCCTTGATCATCTTAGTCTCACCAGGTGGAGGCGAGGGTAACCAGTTACTTACAGAGGTTTGTCCAGGTGCACGCGGCGCAAGATGATCTCCATGAAGCTAAATACAGCTTGATTGGACGCGTCGAAGAAAACATCGGAATTGAGCATCTCGCATAGAGGTCTAAAAACTGGCAGGAAAATGTTGCGCCTGTATCGGGCACGTGTTGCTGTTCGCCAGAGATTCTTAAACTCGGTTTCTGTCGGTTCGGCAAATTCCATGGCGAGCGATTCGAATTCTGCCATACCATGTGAGCAACTCCAAGACAACTATGAACGAAAGTGTACAAGCCCAACCTTCATCTCCATCCTTGGGAAGATAATCGTCTCCAAGAATTTCGTCAAGAGAGGCGTTAAAATGCCGCACTAGTCTCGAATCCTCAAGTTGGTTCGAGGTCCAATCGTTAGGAGAATGGAATAATAATGGGGAAGGAGGCATGTTGACAGTCGTGCCGTAGAGTACGAGGAAGAATGAATCAATCGATACTGTGTCGTGAACGAACTGTTTTTTGACGTGATTTTGGAACAATTCTTTCTCGACGGGGAGGATCGGTCAGTTTGCTACAATGGAAGGTGCAAAGGGATTAGGGTATCGTTATATGATGCACTTCCATATTTGGGGATGGTGAATAACTTGTACACCACAGAAATTCCGGACCAAATGAAGGATGTGAATATCAAATTAATATTATAGTATATGAAAACAAGTGAAGAGGCTAGCTGTGAATGTTATGATGCCTGCAGGCAGAAATTTCACCTTCCCAGTCTGGTTAGTGCTGACTCCGATCGGGATGCCATCTCGCACTCCATCAAGGCTGAACAGAACACGAATCCTTGACCACCATGAAAGCAACCAGAAAAAGCACCCCAAAGTCCCGCACGGGATGTATTACATGCAAGTAAGTAGACAGACTTTGCATTGGACATGTGTCTAATCCATCAGGTCCCGTCGCGTCAAATGCGACGAAACCAAACCTCGTTGCATACGGTGCATGCGATCAAATCGCACATGTGGGGGATACACATCCCTTGAATCCACCAATGTTGTGGATACAATTAAAGCATACAATATTCCGTTCAGAGTTCCAGGCAGTAGATTGGATCGCCAGCTGCTCCATTTCTACTGCGTCGAGGCCGCTTTGAGTCTTTCGAGCTTCTCCGATGCGGACTTCTGGAGTCGACTCGTGTTGCAAAGATGTCACCATCAACCTGTGATTCGCAACGCACTCGTCACACTGAGTGCTATATACCGGGACTATAAGTTCAAAGATGATGCCAGGCCAGAGTCTGACCGTCCAGCGCTGCAGCATCTGCAACTAATCGCCAGATCCCACAAACAGCTAAGGATGCATCTCTGCTCGCCGGACGCATCAATTGAAGTTGCTTTGATCTGCAGCGTGGTGTTTTACACCTTTGAGGCTCTTCTAGGCAATGCGGTACAGGCGATTCGACACCTCGATCAAGGGCTGATTCTGCTGAAACGGAGTCAGGCCACCGCGCCCGTGCAGAATGCCACAGATGCCATTCTTCCACGTTTAACAGTCTTATTCGCCAGCCTGGACATTCAGGCAAGCACATACAATCCAAACCGGCGGCCCATGTTGTCTCTGATCTCGCCATCAGAACAGTCTGGGCTTGTCCCGCTCATACTAGACAGTTCCAGTTCCACCCTGGCGGATGCACAAATGGCACTCACCAAGTTGCAAAATTGGATGTTGCACCATCTTGCGTCTTCCTACCCATATAAGAAGAAAGGCCCGCAGCTTCTACCAGCAGACATTCTTCTAGAGCGACATCACTTATATGACCAATTGACGAGATATATAAAGACTGTGAGCGCGTATTCGACCCCCCTTTCTGGCCCGAGCACGGCAAATTGCCTGCTCCTTCGACTACAAGCTCGCATGTTCCGCACTATCGTGGCCGAGGATGTTCCGTCCCTGCAGTTTACAGACAGTGACTCACTGCGGAAATGCTTACAAGATATATCGGCCGTTTTGGAAAGTATGTTGGGTTATTCCTCCACACAGGGCACCACTGCCCAGAGATCATTCACATTGAGTACCCAGCTTGTCGCAGCGCTTTACTATATCTGTATGAAAAGCAATCATCCCAGTATAGTAGACATGGCACTCTCACTACTGCGACACAAGAGGCTGCCACACCGCGATGGGGTCTGGGACGCACGGACGGTGGAAGCGGTGGTGCATGGCATCCGACGTTCCAGTAAGCTGCCTGAATGGCGAATTGGCGGACAGGAAGCTACAGACTATCGACTAGAGTATGCCAATGAGGACCTTATCAACGCAGTTGGAGAAGGGGGCTTGTATGAGATATGGGAAATACTGCGACGTCATGAGCAGTATATCATGTGTGGCGACTCTCCTAGCTTAGTATCTGGTCTTATCTAACCCCCACGAGAGCTGTAGGCAAAGCTGATCTGGCCGCGCTTGGCTCCTCAGCTTCTGGGAGCGGTTCAACCCGATTCGTATCCGATAAACGACTTCCACGGCATGATAGCGGGATGATGTCAACACATCAAGGCAATCCGGCTAATTTGCGTGCAGGGATCGGGTATTGACTGGCCAGTTACAGTCGCAGCCGGCGCGTCGCCTCACTTTTGAGTTACGCCATGGACAGATGACCGCCAGTCATGGCTAACCTCTAAACCTAGACCGGCACGGCTTTGCGGTGATGGCATGTTGTCCTCCCCGGCCCAGGATTTTGAATGCAGTCCTCGGCATGTGCCATCCCCATCAAACGTGGGGGTCACTTTGCGGGGATCAATTGCGGGGGATGGCCGCTACCCCGTGTTTTAGTGTCGCCCCGTTAGTCTCGAGCTTGAAGCTTAAAACACATGCGGGTTGGCCGAGCGGAAAGCGTGGGGGTGTTGGTTGACAATGGGTTATAATATCGAAGAGCTGCCTTGCTCAACCGGCTTTGAATACTTTCTAACCAACAAACAAACATCTTTCTGACATGGAGCCTGACAAGCCAGCCGCGATCCACGATGAAGGAGTGGAAGTGGCCAAACCAACTACTATCGATGGACTTCCGCATACGCCGGTCCTGGTGACAGAGGAAGACAGCAAGAGGATTGCCCGCAAAACAGATCGAACTATCCTGGTGATATTGATCTGGGTGTACTTCCTGCAGATCCTGGACAAGACAGTGTTGGGCTTTGGCGCAACATATGGCCTGGAAGAAGACACCAACCTCACCGGGAACCAGTATTCGCTGGTCGGTTCAATCGCCCCGATCGCGCAGCTCGCATGGCAGCCCTTTTCCTCCTGGCTGATCGTGACAATTCCGCCTCGCATCCTGATGCCTACATTAGTGCTTGGTTGGGGCATCGCGCAGACCTGCATGGCAGCATGCAGCAACTTTGGCGGGCTAATGGCCACCCGCTTCTTCCTCGGCCTGTTTGAAGCCGGCTGCCTCCCACTATTTAGTCTCCTCACCAGCCAGTGGTATCGTCGTGCTGAGCAACCACTCCGAGTAGCCGCCTGGTATGGAACAAACGGCGTGGCGACCATCATCGCAGCGGTGCTATCATTCGGTCTCGGCCACATCAAGTCGGGAGTATTGAAAGAGTGGCAAATGTAAGCCCCTTCCACCCACCCGATAACTATCCGCAAACTAACCTCACTAGCATCTTCCTCGTCGTCGGTCTCATCACCGTCATCTCCAGCCCATTCGTCTACTGGCGCCTCGACAACGACATACCGTCGGCGCGCTTCCTCACCGAAGAAGAGAAGCTCCAAGCGATGGAACGTCTGCGAGCAAACCAGACGGGCGCGGGATCACGCGAATTCAAGCTCGGCCACGTCTACGAAGCTGTCCTCGAGCCCAAAACCTACCTCTGGATCAGCATGGCCCTCCTCCTGAACATCGGTGCCTCCGTGTCGAACGTCTTCGGGCCGTTAATCCTCCAAGGTCTCGGCTACGACACGTACACCACTACCCTGCTGAACATGCCCTTCGGCGCCGTGCAAGTCATCGTCATCCTAGTGGCCAGCTACCTCGCCCAAAAGGCGCGTCTGAAGGGCATCATCCTGGCGGCGCTAATGCTCCCCGTCGTCGCGGGCCTAGCCATCCTATATGCCGTGCCGCGGAACAGCTCCACCAACGGTGCTCTCATGGCAGGATACTACCTCATTGCCTTCTTATTCGGCGGGAACCCGCTAATCGTCAGCTGGATCGTCGCAAACACGGCCGGCACGACGAAGAAATCCGCCAACATGTCATTATACAACGCTGCGGTGTCGGCAGGGAACATCATCGGTCCTCTGCTATTCAATGAGAAAGAAGCGCCCGCATACAAGCCCGGGTTACGGGCATGCGTGGGGATCTTCGTCGCCTTGATCGCAGTATTCCTCCTCCAGTGGGTCGATCTATGGGTACTGAACAAGATGCAAGAGAAGCGGCGCGTACGGAACGGCAAGCCAGCCAAGGTAGTGGATGTGTCGATGCAGAGCGATCGAATGATGGCGATCGAGCAGACGCTGGAAGCAAACGGCGAGGAGGGACAGGCGCATGTAGGGGCAAATGGACTATTGGACTTGACGGATGGGAAGAACGAGGATTTTGTTTACGTTTACTAAACGATGTTCACGAGTCATGACGGGGGTCTAATTCCAGTTTTAAACTACATACATACATACATTACCATCCATCCCACACCAGATCAATACTCTTTAACACCCCCTACACTCCTTAACCCACAACCCAATCCCCTTATACTCATCACCAACATTATCCTCCTCCCCACCAAGCCAATAAATCCTCCTTATCTGCCCCTCATTCGGCTCCACATCCCACGCTTCCACCCCATCAAGAAGCAGATAATTCCCCTCGTCCACATCGAACCCAGTCACGCTTGCCCGGGCGGGAGCAGCGCCATTCGGTTCCGTCAGGGCAATTGGTGCTGTTTCGTCCTTTTTGACGTAGAGGTGTTGGATGCCTGTAGTAGTGTCGTATTGCTTGTGGCCGGTGATCATGGTGTTGTTGGAGCCGCCTTTTACTGTATCACAGATAGGGTTTGTGTTAGTTTGGGGGTGGGTTTGGGGATGGGGAAAGGGAGGCGCACGGATGAGAATAGGGTAGTGTTTGATGTCGCCGGTTCCGATGTATAAGTGTGCTGTTCGTTGATTTAGTATACAGTTTGTAGGGTTTAGGGTGTAGTTTTGTGGGTAATTGTAGTGGTGGGATGCATACTTCCATCAGTAACGACAGTCCAGCCTCCGTCTGCGACGAGGGTGTATGTAGATGGTAAGGAGGCGGAGACGGTTGCGATGAGGGAGGTGAGAGTGGTGGTGAGGGAGAAGAGTTTCATTTTGGTGGGTTTATTGGGAGTGGGTGTGTAAGATAATGGGTAGAATTGTTGGTTAAGTAGGAATAGTATGAATATTGAGGGGAAGGGGGGAGCAAGATATTTATATGCAGGTGCATCCAGAGGGGAGAGCTATTTTAAGATCATTTGAGGCCCCGCTGATCATCAGTGGCGAGTTGATTTGACTGGGGTTGGTTCCAGTTCTGGGATGTATGGATGGATGTAGTGGATGCAGGAGGGACTGTATTGATTCACCTGCAGATGATTTGAGTTGGTTGCAATGTATATGTAGTGCGGGTGATAAGTAATGACACTGGCTATATCCTTTTACCAAATAATTGTTAGGTTTGGAGGGAAAGAGGGGTATATTCTAAACTACATAGTAGTAGGACAACAGTAGGACAACAGTAGGACAACAGCATAGTTCAGGAGAAAGATTATCGATAGACTCAATCTTGGGAACAATTGATCCCTGGTCCGGCTGATCGGGTTGGCCGGGTAGCAAACAAAGTCAACACTTGGTACTAAGCGAACTGGATCTTGCGGGGAACCAAACTTTAGTTCCGATGCATGTCTCACCAGCCAGCAGCCAATGGCGCAAGGGTGCTGCTACACAATCCAGCCTTGCTTGATTTAGAACTTTGAGTTGCATGATGATGGAATGTGGTATTCAATGTCTTGAACCAAGATTCACAATAAAGTTCTTGTTCTTGTTGACCTACCGCTGTGTTCTTCAATATATAGCGGATTGGCCATTCAAGCATGGATAAGTTACAGCCAGTTACACTGGTGGGCTGTTCCATGCATCTTACTTGGAAAAAATGTACCAGAATATGGCATGGTCATTGAGTCGCAAACACATTGTAGGTCTATTGTAGACCGGTTGGTTAGGTAAAGTGTGTACGGGATTGCACCGCATCACAGTGCTTTGAAGTGATCCTATGTGAAAAGTGAATGTATTTCAGGACTCAAATGAGTCGTCGTCAACTTCCGTATTGTATAGTGAAGCTGGGCATTACCACGATTTGGAATGCCGTGAGACTTCACTTGGTGCCCATCATGTGAAGCAACCCGAGCCTCTAGCAGGAGCAGTATCACCACAACATGACTCCTGATACTATCATCAGAGCGATCTTGACACCTCGTGTATGCCAGGTTATTTTCTGTTCTATACAGAAGCAGTGTCATTGCTTTGACGCCATGATCTACATCGAAAATGGCTCCTCCACCAAAGAGAGCAGACTCCCCTTCGAAATCGAAGAATGGGTGGAGATGGCCATTGGCATGTTTGTCATCCTGCTCCGACTCTACGCTCGAACCAGAGCAGTAGGTTTCAGAAAATGGCAAGGGGATGATTACCTTAGCGTCGTGGCTCTCGTTCTTTGGGCAGTAAGTATACAATTCGCTAGTGAGGACGAGGGTGTAAAGGTTGACATACCATGTTCTAGACCGAGGTCTTCATGTTCAAATTCGTGTGTAAGCTCGTCTCTCCCCGAAGATTCACCGCCAACTGACAGGTTCTTGCTCTATAGTCCGCTTCGGCGCCAATGCCGGACTCAGCGACGAGCAGAGAGCATCCATGGAGGAGTGGGAGATACATGAGCGACAGTTTGGATCAAAATGCCTTCTCGTCAGCTGGTTTGCCTACGTCACCCTTATTTGGGTGCTAAAGGCTTGCATGCTGTTTTTCTATAAGCGTCTGACGTACGTTAACCCGTTCATATACATCAAGTTATTGCATCGCACTGAATCTGGGTAGGATTGGCCTTGTTCAGCAAAGGTTCGTCAAGGTCGCGGCAGGCTTGTTTTTGTGCACCTATGTCGCCGCCACGCTGACTATCCACCTACACTGTAACCCCGCCAGCAAGCTGTGGCAGATTTACCCAAATCCTGGCAGTAAGTTAATAGCGCGAAAGGTCTTGAGGTCGGCTAACGGGTCTTGAGAGGCGTGTACGCAAGGCTCGGCGAACTACATTGCCGTTCTGGTAACTAACATCATGTGAGTCGCAATACAGGGTGCAACTCAACCGCTGCTAACGAAAGATGGTGTCGTCATCTAGGACGGACGTCGTGCTGCTCTCGATCCCGCTGCCGTTACTGATCCAAGTGCAACTCCCTTGGCGCCGGTATGTCCACCTCAGACACAGTTGTGAGAGCCCAAGTCACTCACATTACTAGGAAACTGGTGATCGGGTTGCTGCTTTTTGGGGGCGTATTTGTGATGATTGCCGCGCTGTTCCGCTGCGTCCTTTCGCTATGGCACATTGAATCCGTTAATACCAGCAACCTTTGGGCAACACGCGAGAGCGTATGTTCCCTCCCCAGGTTCCTCCCACTCTTAATCTGACCACCGTATAGGTTATTGCCATCATCACGGTCAACATTCCATGCATCTGGCCGCTGCTTCGGAGGTCATCCTCGTCGCGAGATGTATCGACTGGGGCCAGTGGAACCGGACGGTACAAGTTAGGACCGTTAGCGGGGACGGGAACAGCGAACCGGAGACCAGCCGGACCCGAGTCTATCTTGGAAGATAGCCAATCTCAGTTTGTCAGTGATGTTCGGGGAGGGTCAGACCGAGTGGGCGAGGAGGCCGGGCGAGACATCGATGGGATTCAAGTGACGACTGTGTATGAGGTGAAACACGATCAGTATGGAGCCAAGGATCGAGGATGAAGGGAGAACTGAATAATAGTTACTCTCCGTACTTGAGTCAGTTATCACTGGACACGTGATGCTCGTCCCAGACGGGAAGGCGGTTGCCGTTCCCGAAACAGTCTAGTGCCGGGAAGTTGAATTTTTCTCTTCAATTCCTCCGCTTTCTTTTTCCGCCTTCATTTTTGCCTCTCATCTTCTTTCCTGCCTTGAGTACTCAAACTGCTACTGTCCGGGTATTCTCCAGGAAGTAGAATGTGTTTATTGTAATATGTGGTATGTCTAATGTTTAATGATGAATATTCATTAAAGTGTACTACATTGTACCTGTCCGTCGCTAACCGGGCTGAATCCACTCCAGTGTAACCCCGCCGGCTAGAAGGCCGCTAGAATCCACTTACTGGCCGCTCGCAACCCGTGACACCCCCGTGATTGGCCCGTGATTAGGTAACGCCATGGCAAAACAGTGGAGAGTTTTCGTCCGCGGCGACTGACGTTATGGAACGAACTCCCCCAATCTGGGAAAAATTCGGTCCAGACAACCAGACGAGAAAATCTTGCCGCCCCCCCAAGATGGCCACATGGAAAAAGGTTTGTCATGTCTGTCTCTGTTTCTGTTTTTCCTCTTCCCCAAAACTCAATCCGGTCATCATTGACGTTGACTGACACATCGACTCCCTCCCCAGCTGTCGTGCGCTGAGGCTGTCATCTCCGCTGCCTCGCGCTCTCTTCCTGCCTTCCTGATCTCCTCTCACACCTTTCCCCACCTCACCTGAACACCTCTCGGTCATGGAGGACAATAAGGTCGCTTCCCAAGGGAAGCTGCCCATCGACAGTGCCATCACCGAGGAGAATGGCTCCCAATCCCCTTCCGATCGCTCCCTCACCCCCTCCGGCTTGCGCGAGCGCCGGCGCAATGGCCTCACTAAGGATGTCGAAAGCGACAATGAGGAGGAAGAAACCAAGCTGAAGCGCAACCTGAAGAACCGTCACCTGCAGATGATCGCCATTGGTGAGTGGAAGAACACTTGGATCCGACAATTGACATTGCCGTGAACTCGTCACTAACCCTTCGAAGGTGGTACTATTGGTACAGGTCTCTTCATCAGCAGTGGAACGGCCCTTGCGGAAGCTGGCCCGGCAGGTTCCCTCATCGCCTACGCCTTTGTCGGTTCTATCGTCTACTCGGTCATGTGTTCGTTGGGAGAGATGGCTACCTATATTCCCATTCCCGGTGCCTTCACCTCCTACGCCGCGCGCCTCGTCGATCCCAGCTTGGGTTTCGCCATGGGCTGGATCTACTGGTTCAACTGGGCCTCCACCTACGCCGTCGAATTGACTGCGTCCGGTATGATCATTCAGTACTGGAACGATCAGCTGTCCATCGCTATCTTCATCGGTGTCTTCTGGGTCGTCATCTCCGCCGTCAACTTCCTCCCCGTCGGCTTCTACGGCGAGCTGGAGTTCTGGTTCTCTATCACTAAGGTCTTGACCGTTCTGGGCTTCATGATCTTCGCCATCTGCATTGATGCTGGTGTCGGCAAGCAGGGCTACATTGGATTCAAGTACTGGCACGACCCCGGTGCTTTCGCTCCCTACCTGATCACCTCCAATGAGTCCGTTGGCAAGTTTGTCGGCTTCTGGGCTGTGCTCATCCAAGCTGGTTTCTCTTACCAGGGCACCGAGCTTGTCGGTGTCGCCGCTGGTGAGACCGAGAACCCCCAGAAGACTGTCCCCTCGGCCATCCGCAAGACTTTCATCCGTATCCTGGTCTTCTTTGTCCTGACCATCTTCTTCATCGGCTTGCTTGTGCCCTACACCAACCCCGACCTGGCCAGCGGAGCTGAAAACGCCTCCGCCTCTCCCATGGTCATTGCCGCCAACTTGGCCGGTGTCAAGGTCCTTCCCAGCTTGATCAACGCTGTTCTTCTCACTGTCGTCTTGTCCGCCGCCAACTCCAATGTCTACAGTGGCAGTCGTGTCCTGCTTGGTCTGGCTCAGGAGGGTTTCGCGCCCTCAATCTTCGGATGGGTTACTCGCCGTGGTGTCCCCTACGTCAGTGTGGCTTTCACCGCTCTCTTCGGACTCCTGGGCTTCATGAACGTCTCGGAATCGGGTACGACCGTCTTCAACTGGCTGGTCAACATCTCCAGTGTGGCCGGATTCATCTGTTGGACGTCCATCAACGCCAGTCACATTGCTTTCATGAAAGCAATGAAGGCGCGCGGTCTGTCCCGCGACACCCTTCCCTACAAGGCCATCTGGCAGCCCTGGTTGGCCTGGTACGGACTGTTTTTCAACATCCTGATCATCTTCACTCAGGGTTTCACCGCTTGGATCCCGACCTTCAATGTGTCGGACTTTTGGGTAGCCTACATCTGCCCCGTTCTGTTTGTTGTTCTGTACATTGGCCACAAGGCGTGGTACCGCACCAAGTTTGTGCGGCCCATCGAGGCGGATCTGGACACCGGACGTCCGCCCTACACCACTTGGGAATCGAGCAACCCCAAGGACGGATGGGCACGGAGGATCTGGGACAGCATCATGGGATAGATGTGGATATAGTGACGATGAATATATATTAGAAGAATTGGAGAGTGGTTTTGTCGCATACAGCGGAGTTTGGCGTGCATTCGTGTAACATATTTATAGTTATATAGTTATCCGGTAGCTGATAGACGGTTACCAAAATATATTTAGATGCAATTCACGTTCAGTGTAATTAGCAATCATGCAATCTCTCTCCGCAGGGAATACCAGCCTTTTCAGTACTAATGAAATGGTGCTTAGTTACTACTTTATAGTAACATAGTAGATATAGTGGCACTCATCGCGAAGAAACCCTGATCCCAACCTCGCTATCTACCACTCCCTGGGGCAACATCTGCAAAACTAGTCAAAGACAACACTGAGCAGTGAAGATGGAGTCAGACTTTAGCATGAAAGGAATATATTAAGCACACCTTGGACTGGTACCAAATAAGATTTGCCATGGGTAGGTAGTAAATGTAAATTTGCAATTACTGAGTATGATACTAGTAGCTGAGGTACACGTACTTTATATATATTTGCTGGTTGGGATCAGCCCCTTAGATGTGATAGCTTCTGATTCCTGTTTGGGATGTACCAGACTATTTACTCATACTATCTGATACTAGCAATTAGGTTGATTAGCCAAATTAAGTGTAAGTTACCTATTGAAGTCTACATATTCAGTGGTTGTGGTGGTACTTACCGCTTTTACCACTAGTACCAATAGTAATCAGTACCACTACTGCTATACAAAAGACAAGACTACAAAAAACCATCATAATTAACAAGTTATTTGATTAAAAGCACCTTCATGATACAAATATACTCTAACTGTGCGTGTCCCAGCCTCCCAAAAGCATAGTATCCCCATAAATGGTCGTAATCATGAGTCTTAGTCTTTCCGTGTCAATTAATAGTACTTAGATATATATCCCAGCCTCCTTTCTCAGTGCCACCTGGCACTAAGTGTAGTTAATCAGCATGCAGAATCCAACTAGACACTCGCATTGAGTGTCATGCCATTTGCACAGAACTACTGAAAGTCCTGATCCACCCCGTTCTCCGCATACACTTGCAGACTGTACTTGGCAAATGCACTCCGCATCCGCATCTGCTCTCCGTAGCGACTGAGTAGTGGAGGCACGATACAGAATATTGTTGCCAGCACGGCTAGGATCGACACGGCCACGTTAGCACCCAGTGCGTCGAACATCTTACTCCCAAACAGTGGGAACGCAGCCGAGAGCAAGGACCGAATGATAGAGAGAGCAGCAAAGCCGCTAGCAGCATAGCTCAGGTAGCTGTCTGCCATATATGCCGTCACCACAATCTCCAACTCATTAAGTGCGTATCCGATAAAGAAGAGCGCCACCACGGAAACAAACCAGTTGACATTGGTCACTTGGGGAGGGATCGTCCAGGCGAACCACCAGAGCGCGATCGCGAGGACAGGTGCTCCGATGTAGATCCCCGTCAGCTTGTGTTCTGGCTTGAGGACTCCGCACTTCTTCTGGCGTCTTCGGATTATGTGATAGTCCACGATGCGGGTCAAAGCGTTCGGGATGACACCGAGTCCGAGGGCGAGGAACGGGAGGGATGCTTGTTCCGTGCTGAAGCCGAATTGCTCGTAGACCGGGGGTAGGGCTTCCGTGAAGAGGTAGACCAAGGCCACGCAGACTCCGAATATCATTGTCACGATAAAGACGATAGGCTCGGTTAGGAAGAGACGGAGAGGTCGCAACAGGCCGAGATGGAGGAAGGTGCGCAGGTCCGGCATGTAATCCGGGTTCTGCGCCTTGAACGTATCGTTCCCGGTCAGTTTACGCAGAGTTTGGACTTCCCGCATAAGAATGAGGGATGGTCGAGATTCTTTGATACATAAAAGAAGCGCGGCGAGGAAGGCGGAAACAATAGCGCCAACGTAAAACACCCATCTCCTGCACCAGTGTTAGCAATCGCAAGGCAAAAGGCTTAGAAGTCTCCCACCATCCAAAGCGAACAGAAATATACGAGCTTATAATAGGCCCGGCGCTGACACCCATACATGCCATCGAGACGTAGACTAACATGACAAAGATCCTATCATGCGTGTTGAACATGTCTTCGATACTTCCGGTAATCACGACGGTAGGGATGGCCGACAGGAAGCCGGTAATGAAACGGCCGACGACCAGGGAGGGAATTGACGGGACCGCCGCGATGATGAGGCAGAATACGCTGTATAAAGACGCGCTAAAAATATAGAGCTTCTTTCGACCGAAGGATTCCGAGTAAGGGGGAAATACAATTCCCCCCAGACCTTGTCCTAGGAGATAACTATAGCAATTAGTGTCTATTGCCCGGTGATAGGAAAGTGTTGGTAGCGCACGTTGAAACATATAGAAACAATGTCAATGTCTTTGACGTCCCGAACTCGGCCTGTGCGGCCGTGGCTGTTGTGGCCTGTCAAATGTGAGACATTGTGCATATGTGCGGAAAAGCACTACTCACTCCTGAGGTACTGAGACATGTCCTGGACAGTTGATGTCAGCAACATATCGCAGAAATCCCAAGATAACCTCACGTGAAGAATTCCAAAAGCGAGATCACAACAATATCGTAGGATTTGCGCACTGGGTGCCAGTTCCGCGGATGTTTGGGATTTGTTCGAGCCCAGCGCAAGTGACACCCGTCTGGGGTCAGTTCTAGTCCATGCTCGGCAGCAAGAACGTTGAGATCAGAAAGCTCTTCAATGCCGAATTCGCCCATTGTGAGAATATCAACCGTTCACGATGGATGTCTCAGTCCATCGGTTGGTTTTAAAGACCAGGTGGTTGTGGATCAATCAAGGGATGCATACCTCGAGTTGTGGTTGTGGAGATGATCAGTAGAATACGCGGATCACCTCCCCACTCGTTTGCCCCTTATTTGGACTAAAAGAGCTGGTACGGGTCAGTGCGATGGATGGATAAGGATACTCAACCACGACCAAGCAACGGGGCGTGCCTGCTAATGTGCCTAGCCGTTGTTAAGAGCCAGGAAATGACCCGAGCACGTAGTACACACTGGGGTTGTATGCTGCGGGAGTATCTTTGCGTGACGTGTCACGGAGCATCTTTATCACAGAATGGACACGGATTATCCACAGGCTTATCATCTACTGCCCGTGTCAAGAGACTCGGGGCGTTGGAAGGTCTTCTTCATATGGGCATGTTGACGGGTAGTCGGCATACAAACTTCGCAGAAGGGGGCTCTGGACCTGTTTCTGCTCATAAGGCTAGCGACTCTTGGTATATGGTGGCATGATATCACTTCCCACATTCTGGAATGTAGCACCTTGACGAGCACGCAATTGGCTATAGGATACCGAGCCCACAAAAATACGCGCAACAGGCAGCGTCAGACTCGTGAGGGGGTTGTGTATTCCACGCAACAGCTGTCGATCCGCGCATAGCTGAAGATTTCGTGATATTCGTTCCCCGCAGTTCCCATCATGGTAGGGGAACCCATGATGTTAGCATTGGTCTGGTGGCTGTTGGGTCACCGTCATTATCGCCGACCGTTGAGAACGAGCACGCTATTCGGGTTCCCTTGTCGTAAGCAGAACATGCTATTTGACTGCTTAGTGTATCCTTAAATGGAGTGTTCCCCATTTAGGGCATGTTTCAGAACGGCCAACAGCTATTAGCGCCCTAACGTCGTTAGTGTTGACGATCATGTCCGGGGAATCTGGCTGTACCATTATGCGTGAGGACTTACAAAAGGATGCAACGAGCACGAACAATGGGTGTGAGAAAGCCAGAGCTGATGCGGCACAGTGGCGACCATGCAGAATACACTGCTTAGAGCAATGATGCTACAGGCAAGGAGGGAGTCTCACGTGGACGCCAGGTCCTGAGGCCATGAGCACCTGGCCGACTGCTATTCGGAACAACATTTCCACCAGACCCGAGCAAACCGGAGCCATAAAGGGAGGTCATGTTGGTAGCAGAGGGGCATACCTGTGGCTGAACCAAGCTATTATTAGCTGCTCAACTGCATGGCGCTATCGTTCAGCGCCAAATCGTTGGCGTGGAATGAATGCCTGGCGAGAGCAGTGCGGCGCCTAACGACATCGGCGTTAGCAGAGCGGCCAACCAATCTCGACATGTATGCATGGAAACTGAAGCTAAGCTGCAAGGCTGTGGTCAAAGATGGAATGATTGGACGCGCTCAATGTTATCTGTTCCGTGGGCGGTTCATGGAGTGTGCCTTGGCTGCGGCAACTGCTCGCAGCGCATAATATATACCAGTGACTGGACATCATTATTTTATCATCTTTGGAACTTCCATCTCTCAACCGCAGAGCCAACTCCTCTACCTCTAGAAGACCGCACGTCCGCCATTGCTTCCGGAATACTCAAATTCCATCAACAGTTACCGAAAGCCCACATCAACCGCTTACCTCCGCACCGAAAATGTCCATCATCAAATCGATCGTGGAATGCATCTGGGGACGATCGGCCAACGTCCACCAAGCCGATGCCCGCACTTCCGCTGTCGCATCTGACATTGTCAACATCCTTCTGACCGGTGAAACCCACGAGGATATCCAGAAAAGATTGAAAGAACAAGTTGATACCAACGGGTGGAGCGAGTCCATCGCCAAAGCTATCCTCCATGGTCTCAACGACGCTATCAAAGCCGGAGCGGAAATGGCCGGCCCTGCCGCCGACGCTCTGATGAAGGCCAAGGAAGCCGCAGTCAAATTTGCCAAGGATCACCCAGTATTTGCAACCCTTCTTGCCTTGGGGGTGCTGGCAATCTTAGCACCGTGGGTTCTCGAAATGTTGGGATTCGGAGAGTTGGGACCAATTGCCGGGTCTTTTGCGGCGAGATGGCAAGCGACATATTCTGGCTATGTGCCTCGTGGTGCGCTTTTTACATATTTCCAGCGCCTGGGAATGAAGTGGCATTGGGTGGGTTAAATGTCTCTCCGCCAAGCGCCGTTGTGCTGATGAACGGAAACTCAGGTAGCCCAGATGATTAGTATTATGCCATCAGTGGGACTGGGGTTAGTAGGGTTAGGAAGAGTCAAGTCGAAGCTGTAGTTAGTGTCAATGAATGCCAAATGCGTTGCAGTCCCTGAGGCATTCCCGATATCGCACCACGTTATGAGACTTGCCCTAGTTATCGCAGCAGACGGCTACATGTAAAAGATGGCAGCTGCCAATACTTCAACAGTAGAGACCCCACCAGCGGGCGGAATTATTTTCCACACGACCCAGCATAAGGAGGAAGTAGTGCTCTCTGAAGACTTATGCTCCAGAAGATGAACATAAAAAAACTGTCAAGATTCCGACCGAGCCGGATGTCCAACCAGATGGCGCTGTCACACGTCAAAGGGCGCGACAATGACAACAAAGCTTATCTGAAATCACCAATGGTTCGCCAGGTACACCCGGCCCCATTGTGCGCTTGTGCTCGTGACAGTGTTGTATCGTCTTTCGGGATTTGCTTAGTGCAGATGTTATGCAGACGACCGGGAGCACAACTGGAACAGGCATAGGGATCTGCAAGCTGAGGGTGGGAATGCCTCGCGTGGGCTCGGTTATCAGGCTTCATCTTCACCTGGTATCAAATCCCTCTCAATCAGCCCATCGAACAACCAGGAGGATCGCGAGACGTTCCAGAAGTAATCTGAAGCTGTAATGTGACCGATTCTGACCAGATAACAATACGAGAGCCGCACGCAGCCTCGGTCCGGTCGGTGATCGGGTTGCCGAACTCACAGCCGAAGCCTCCACCGAGTGGAGCCATGCCGTACCAGTGGATCCTGGACAAGCATTGGGATTTGCCCATGGCTCAGGTCAAATCATTCTTCACCCGGCCAGTCCCTTGGATGCCTGCAGCAGGTGAATCAGGGTAGCCCTGCATAGTGTGATCGTGTCATAGCGCCATCGGGTACCAGGCCTAAGAAAATTCCTCATAACACGCCATTACAGCCCCATCAAGCTAATCATTCTTATAACTACGCTACTCCACCTGCTTTGATCTGTCTCAGTTCATCATGCTTCAAACCCAGCCAGGTCTTTCACGAGGATCCCAACCAAATCATGGCTAAGATTCCTCACTGGCGTCTCATTGTCGACCAGAGTGTTGTCACTCAGGAGATCATCGACTATCCCTATGTCGGCTCAGGGACCGAGTCCGACCCATTCGTCGTAGAATGGATTCCCAATGACCCACGTAACCCCATGCTCTTCAACAAGAACATTAAATGGGTCTACACCATTATTGCCGCATTCGCGACCTTTGGCGTTTCCATGGCCTCGTCCGCCTATGCGGGCAGTATTGACCAAGTGATCGAGCACTTCAATATCGGTACTGAGGTAGCCACTCTGGGTGTGTCACTGTTCGTGCTTGGGTTTGCTGTTGGGCCCCTTGTCTGGGCACCGCTGAGTGAACTCATCGGCCGCCAACTTGTGTTCTTTGTCTCGTATATGGGCCTGGCCGTATTCAGTGCTGGTGCAACAGGCTCGAAGAACCCATGGACAATCATCATCCTGCGATTCTTCGCTGGCTCATTCGGATCCAGTCCTCTAACCAACGCCGGCGGACTAATTGCAGACGTCTTTCCCGCTGAACAGCGAGGATTGGCAATGAGTGTCTTTGCGGGTAGTCCCTTCCTCGGACCGACCCTTGGGCCCGTTATCGGCGGTTTCCTGGGCCAAAGCGCAGGTTGGAAATGGGTTGAAGGCTTCCTGGCCGCATTCACTGGCTTTATCTGGATTATTCAGTTCCTGCTTGTTCCCGAAACCTACGCCCCAGTCCTCCTCCGCAAGCGCGCCGACCGTCTCAGCAAGCTCACCGGCAAGACGTACATCAGCAAACTCGACGTCGAACGTGGCCGTGTCTCCGTGACCAGCGCCTTCGGAGCGGCTCTCTTGCGCCCATGGATCCTCCTCTTCGCTGAACCCATTGTCTTCCTTCTCTCGCTATACATGGCCATCGTATACGGCACGCTGTACATGCTCTTCGACGCCTTCCCGATCGTTTACCAACAATTGCGTGGCTGGAACGAAGGAGTAGGCAGTCTACCCTTCTTGGGAGTTATGGTCGGAATGATGTCAGCTGTAGGATACAACATGTGGGACAACAAGCGGTATAAACGTGTGCATGAGAAACACCGTGGGTTCGCACCTCCCGAGGCACGTCTTCCACCCTCCATGATAGGCAGTATCACTATTCCGATTGGGTTGTTCTGGTTCGCCTGGACCAACGGTCTCAACGTTCACTGGATCGTCAGTATCATTGCGTCTGCTCCGTTCGGATTCGGCATGGTCCTCGTCTTCCTAAACATCATGTCGTACCTGATTGACGCGTACACGATCTATGCTGCCTCAGTGTTGGCAGCCAATTCCATCATTCGAAGCTGCTTTGGCGCGGGATTCCCTCTCTTCACGACATACATGTACCAGAACCTGGGCATTCATTGGGCATCTTCCATCCCGGCTTTCCTGTCGGTCGCTTGCTTGCCTTTCCCGTTCATCTTCTACAAGTATGGTGCCGCTATTCGACGCAAATGCAAGTATGCTGGAGAAGCGGATGCATTCATGAGGAAACTCGCTGAAAAATCACTGAACCCGGAGAAGGGCCAGGAAGTTGTCGAGGAAGAGGCCGAGGCGGTCGCTGATGGAGTGGATGAGACTAGGGTCGATCGGGAGTTGGACCTTGAGCGCGCCGAGTCGGTGGCTACGGCATCGGTATCAAGTGATGAGCGTGAAGGTCGGAAGTATGAGGCGAACCCGTACGATATCGATCGGGTCAACACAAGAAACTCGGCGATCACGCAGCGATCAAGGTCGCGGTCGGTCAAGTCGAAGCGGAAGAAGTTCCTTGGATTCTAAGGGGTCAGGTGATTGTTGTGCAGGGGAGGAGTGTTGAGTCTGGTCCGCCCAAGCAGTATGTCAGTGGAGTGGAGATGGGGGGGTTTTTTTGCATTTGAGATACCAATTTGTTTGTTCAATTGTGATAGCTTGCCATTCTTTATAACTATGAACAATAATAGAATAATTAATCAAGTAATTGACACTGTTCTTGGGCCAGATCCAGTCCTCAGCCAATATGATATGCAGAAAGTGTGCAGATTATGGTCCATTCTAGTCATTACATTTATCATATCACATCCCTTATAGGTCATCTAGAAGTCAGCAGGCTCAGGAAGTTTCTCAGGGGTATCATCCCGATAGCTGTTGGTGATCAAGCCCCCGAAACTTGGCGACCAGGCAACTCTCGGCGTCAATACAGGCAAATCCCACAGTTCAGAGAGATACTTCAAAATGGAAGTATGAGTGAAATCGTTTGGCTGATTTGTGGGACGATTCTGTACAACACCCTTCCCGACCCAGGGAGACAT